CTCGAACTTTTTGAATAAGCGAATACCAGCAAGTAGAAGAAAAACTGATTATTATCCTTCGACGATCTAAATTTAGCGACCTTGCCCGATCGTCCTTAAACGGGCAGGCGATATATTACCGTCAATTTAGCCGATAAAAAGCAGTTGACAATAATAACAACAGGACGCTATGGAAGGATTGTCCATAAATCACACTCAAGAAATATGATAAAGATTGTAAAAAAACCCGTCCGATCGGGTATTGGATTCGATCAATCGTACAGGAACGGCCCAACCTGAATCCATCAAAGAATAATGCAACATCTATGATCGAAGATGCTATTGATGATGCTAATGATGCTAATGATAAAGTAAGTAGAGCAAGAAATTTTGTGCAGTTTGTAGGTAAAAGCACAAGAATAATGAAATTTTAAAGAGACAGAACGGCCCTGCGAAAAAAACTAAAAATAATTCAACAGAGGTTTCACTACCATCCTGATAGGCAATCGCTACATCGCCCGGGCATAAATCATCTAAGCGATCTTAAAGTATCATCGCTCACAAGCGGATAATGAGGGATCAAATTGCTTGGAATAAAGCACAGTCCAGTGTCGTGGAATAAAAACTTACTCGAAAATTAACTGCGCTGTACCAACACCGCAAATTAGAATAAACAAATCAATTTTTCCAATGCCAGTCGCTATATAAATTACCGCCTTAAAACGGTGTGGATCAGCTCCTGCAATGCAACTTATCCAACTGGTCATTCGAATAAATTTCACTCGGGAAGAAGAGCTTCCTTATCTGCTATTTACTACTCGATTATGCTGATCCGAGAAATTTACACACTTCCAATGATACCCATTAAAATTACACCACTGTCTGTTCGACGAGGAATCTTGGAAATAATACAAATTGATTAGTTCCACTCACCTTTTTTCCCCGCAACATCTCAACTAATCAATCAGTTGCAGCTTCTACATATATTTATAATGCATATATAAAGCTGCAAAGAACAATGCAAAATCTGGTATGCAAAAAAGCTCGAGTCCTTATAGCAATTCAAAGGCAGTAAACTAATCGAGCAGTGAGTGAAATCGAATGCTCGCTACATTAATAATCGCATAGACTAAACGGCGGAGGATTATATAATTTCTTTGTTCGACTCCTTATAAAGATGCAAATCGATGGGAGAGAACTGGACCGGTCTGCCTACTTGCGAATTAACCATTCGTATAAGTGTAGCTCTTTATTCGATCGGTGGATATTCGAAATCGATGGGATATATCCTTACGAGGGCGGTCGTTTTCCATGCAAATTTCCGGATAATTGGAGCTATCCGGTGTGGTCTTTCTACTTTCTGATAATTAGAGAATAAAACTGAGGTTTCCAGTAAAATACATCAAAGATTAAAATGGAAATTTAGTCGCGGATTGTGCAATAACTAACTAGAGATAGTCTAACACTTTCTGCTAGTACATTCTAGGCAATGTATGGCAATCTATTATTGGCAATCAACAGGAAATCGAGAGTGAATTATCTATCACTCGTCCTTTATTCAAAGAATTGTATACTACAGAAAATCTTATAACAAGTGTATAGGTACTGAATTGGGTACTGAAATTAGAGAATCGTTCTAATCCTGTTAAGATGTCGGTTCTTTTATGGTTCGTTTGGGTTCGTTAAACTAACCAAAAAAAATTTACACTCCATTTCGTACGAAACAATAACACAACGATTAGATATTTGACTGCTGTCGGATTTATCGACCTTCAATATTGCGTAATTATCGTATTTTTGCGGTCGTGGGTCTCAGGTGTTTCGTTGATTTTTTTTTATTCCTTCGTCTTCTTCTAGTTTTTTTTACACCAACGGTTTCTAGATTGACGATAAGCGAATAATTAATGACAGCTGTCGTTCAATTATTTGGATTTCGAATGCCCCATTGCCTGTTACTTAGCAGGTACTAAGCCAGTCGCAATTAGAGTTTAATAAGAATGATTGCAGGTGGAATTGTATACAAGCCAGTTAGCTAAATTAGTTAGTTAAATTCCGAATCGATTCGTCTCGAATCGCCCATACTATACGGGAAATAATCTAAGGACATTTCGCAATATTAATCCAACATCGAATTATAAATGAAGTGATTAATTACGGGAGATAGCGAGCCAGCACGCGAATCGATAAGTAGCCTGTAGTAGGTCCGGAATATCTCGAATCCGTTCGAGAGGAAATTTCTGGACTAATAAACCAACGAACCGGCCGCGATATTTCTTCTTAATTGAATGTAAAACAGCGTGGAACAAATGGAAGGAAGGGAAAAAATGATCGACCGGAACGGCATGGAAACTTAAACGATCGCCGAATCCGATTAAATTTTCGATTAGCCGATCGATAAATTAAATTATTACGGCGAATGTATTAACTCTGTAGGTACTGCGTGGAGTCGCTGGAAAAAAATTGATGAGTTGTGAGAAGAGTTGGTTTTTTTATTGCATCATTCGCAGTTGAACTTTGGTTGAAAGAGCAGAGCGAGTAAAGCGAATGAAGATGAAGAAGAAGAAGATGAAGAGGATTAGAACTTTACCGTCTAGTTAATTTCCAATAAATCTAAAAGGTGATTTTAGCGCGTCCGGAACGATTCTCGTAAATAACGTCCGACTTATTCGCAGTCCAGAAGGTGCCCTATATGGACCGGTGCCTAGTTGAACTGAACTCAATTGAACTACAATAAAGTTAAGTAGTTCCTGCTCGTCTTGGGGTCTCAAGTTTCAACCTTTCGCCTTATACGGCTCGTTCTACAACACCAGTACCGTCTCACTATTTTCACGAATTTCCATCAAAAACCCCACATTAATCATCAATTGTCCATATTTATAAAAATGAAGCATTTACTTTGAAGTAAAAGGTAGAAGCAAAAAAAGGTTCTAAAACCTTATAGAAAGATTTTATAACCATAAAACCTTTCGCTTTAAAGCAACACCAGGGTTTTTAACCAAACCTCTCTTCCTTCTATTCTTTTTAAGCATGTACAGTGAAGCAATTCCTTGATTTTTTTTTGAAGCAAAAGGTTGTGCTTCTTTTTATAAATACGACCTAATGATTCGCAAAGAAATATTAACGATAATTAAAAATGCTAATTTTGAAAATAAGACAATCGAAAACTGGTATATGTTATCGTTCGCTATTTTATTAATTAATATTCGATAAACGCCCACCTGTCGCCGATGAAATTTATAGAATCATAAATTCATACCTGTAGGTATGAGCCCGTTAAAGATCTAACCGATGAGCAGGACTGATGATCAGCTGAACTCATTGATTAAATTAAATGATCACTTTAATTACCAGGTTTTAGTTTAGATATTATAAATTATTATAAATCTACAAGATATCGTATAAACCCTTGTTTAGAGATGAAAACATCTCCCCTTAGTGTTCAAATTAGTCAATTCTATAGTAGATCAATTTAGTAAAAATCATGCACTATAAGTTTGTTAATAATTACTACTACATTTTTATCATACAATCCACCGATTAAATTCCAAAAAACCAAATAAATGGCGAATAAATTAAGATGCACGTGCAACCCCCTAGACATACCACTACGTCACATCACACGCGTGCAAATTAACCGTGGAATGTAAGGCAGTGGCGGGACCCGGGGGAAAAAACCAACAACTACCATCACCAAATGTTCCAATGAATTTCCCTCTCACCGGTACCTGAAATAAAAATCCACCAAATTTCCCCGTTAATAGATACCTAGATATACAGGGTGTTCCAAAATGACATGCTATAATTTTTAAGGGGGTGATTCTTGGAACGATTTTAAGCAGAAATGTTCATATACTTACGTCCTAAACTTTAGAGATAAAGGGTGTTAAAGTTTAAAGAAAAGAAATCAATTTTTTGTAATAAATGTGATACTATAGTAGATAATTTTATGAAATTTGGAACACGTCTTCTATGAATCAAGATGCATTTTTTGATGTGCGAATAATTTTATTATTTTCAGCAGTGGCGTCCGAACGGGTTTTGCATTGGATATTTTTGCAGAAAAAAATGGTACGCCACTGCCTAATGTTAAAATAAAAATTATTTTCGTAATCCTCATTCAATTTAGAACAAATTTGATATCTCGACTTTTCTCCGTACGACTCATCGTTTCGCATTAAAAAAATAATAAATGCATTCATTTGTACGAATAGCATTGAATTGAAATAATATTCAGATATAGTTACGCCGCTGGGTTAAAATCGCTGGATTTGGGGCCGGGACGGCCCTGGCGAGGCGACGGCCGTCATACATACGAGAATTATTCCCCTAGGGATACAAACAAATTACTCTTATTCGGAATTTATTCAGACTTCGAATGTACCGTAATGGTACATTCTGATGTCTATTTGTACGAATAAAAAAAAAACCGCCTTAAAATAACATTTGCATGCGCGCGTATACACGTCGAAAGCCTCTCTATAAATTAATCGATAAATTTATCGATCGCCGGTCGGCGGGCTTTGAGAACGAATTTCGCCCCGTTTGTGCCTTGTTCGATTTATGGAATATGAAATGATGGAAAAAAGTTATTATAGAAATTTCCTGTAAGGTAGACTTGAGGCAAATCGGTTGTAAAATTTGAATAGTTCAAATTAAATATCCTAAAATGTGGCTTTATTTATTATAAAAGCTTATTAAATACAGTAGTTTTTACTAAAAAAAATTATGAATTTTATAAAATTGATGGCTGTACGACCATTAAAAGATACATATAATTTTGTTCATTTCATATTCATAACAATTAAATCTTTTATAACACCCGGTATTGATTTTTTTTAACTCTGATAAATACTTTTTTATAGCAAATTTAAAAGAGAAACTATCGACTTTTCGAAAAAGTGTTATAGAACATTTTTTGTTCAAAATTACTTGTACAATCACCTCCTGAAGTTTGGCGGTTTTTATAGTAGACACCCTGTATAACCTATATTGCGATCAAAAATGAAGAAACCTGTAGAACCCCACAACAGCCACCATAAACGCACCACAACATCACTCAACATCACTCAAAATAAAAAAAAAAACAACATCAACCCACATCAATTTGTCACAACCGTCAAAATCCTCAATAAACAACTCCAAAAACCCCCGGAAATTCCCACATCCGACCACCAAGCCCCAATCCCCACAACCCGAACCGCCCCCGCGACCGCCCACCCACCATGGCCTGCAGAGAACCCCAACCCTGCTTCGTCCCCATCGCCTCGAAGCCGCCTCCGTGCTGCCCGGAGGCCTGCATCAAGAGCTCGGACATGTCGCCCGACATGCAGCGCGACGCCATCGCCCTGGGCATCCAGGCCATGTACCTCTATTCGCTCGAAAGGGACGTCGCCGCCTACATGAAGAAGGAGTTCGACAAGAAGTACTGCCCCACGTGGCACTGCGCCGTCGGCAGGAACTTCTCCTCCTACATCACGCACGAGTCCAGCAGGTTCATCTACTTCTATTTGGGGCCCACCGCTTTCGTCCTCTACAAGTGCGGCTGATTCGACTGGATGGTTCGACTGGCTTCTGGATGGTGTAGGTACCGTTTGGTAGGGACCCGTTGCTCCAATGAAGGAAGTACTTTCGTATCATCTATTGTAACTTGCATAATTCATGTAATAGAGCAGAAGTATTGGAGCGAGGTTGCCCTATTTTGCTGGTAGTCGATCGGGCCATTTGGTGGTTGATTGGTGGTTGATGATGTAACGTGAATAAAGTCGCAACATAATGCAAAACTATGTTTTTTTTTGTATCTATTAGACCGACCTCTCACGAAGTAATGGTGTTAAAATAAACATTGTAAACCAGTTGATCATGCAACTATTTTGCAACCTCGGCAATGTACAGTAGTGTGTACAAGTCGATTCAAATGAAACTAGTTTGCAATGAGTCATAAACCAGTTGTACTCGACCATTTCCCGCGGTTGCAGTAGCTTTGCAGTTTTAAATTGCTTTAAATTCTTGCCAATTTCTGGTGTGATTCATTCGACATTCGATAATTTACTATGGCAATTGATTGAAACTGTTTTATAAAGGCGACCGCTCACGGAGCAACTGTTTCGAAATAAAAATTGTAAACCAGTTGATCTTGCAACTATTTTGCAACTATTTTGCAACCTCGGCAATGTACAGTAGATGTGGAACCGCACACAAGTCGATTCAAATGAAACTAGTTTGAAATGAGTTTGAAATCTTGCCAATTTCTGGTGTGATTCATTCGACATTCTATATCTATGCCAACTGATTGAAACTATTTTATAATAGTCGCATCCTTGTGCGTACAGAAGTTTAATATTAGTTGTAAACTGGTTGCAGACTAAACTAGATTGCAATCTTCATTTCAAAACAGTCGCTCCGTGAGCGGTGGGTCTTAAGCGCTTGGATTAAACTGGAGAGAACGAGTGCAATCAATCCGAATTCGGGCGATGAATAATCGCGAGGGCCCGAAATGGTAAAAGCGGAGGAAAGTGAAATATCGCAAGCGGGTCAAGACGAGGCATTTCGCGTGCATACGCAAGTCGAAAAGTAAAAGTCGATTCGTCATTTCGATTTTTAAACTCCCATTTTAAATTGCCAACTGTCGGGCGGTTCGTTAAGGGACGGTTTACACTTTAAACATCGCTTTAAAATTGCATCCGGCTGTGTTGAAACGAATATTTTCTATAATCGGGCGCTTAATTAATCGAAAACGTATCCGACGTTGCCGCGTTTGTGAATAAATACGTCCGCTAAAGTCAATTGATTCGAGAAAATAGCGGCAATTACGGGCGAACGATGAATAAACTGTCGTTTGGAGCATCCTGCGAATAATTGTCAACGATGGTGAACCAGCAGAGACTGCTCAAACTAGCTGCTATTTCATACAGGGCGATCAGAAATTCTCCTGCCAATCGAAAATCCCAGATTCCTATGGTACTTTTAACATCCTATATATACTCAAAAAAAGTGTTTACTGAATCGTATTTTTAGAGTCACAGTGTTAATATCTGGATTAACTCAAAACGAAAAACGTTGATTGAATCTTAGAAAAACATGCATTCTAGAGATCTATTCATCTGTGAGGATTTTTCGATTGATTTGCCATAAACTTCGGTCGAAAATCCGGGGATTTCTTTAACGGGTAGGATTTGTGGACGCCCTGTATAATAAAAAAAAACGGAATAAGAAACGTTCGAACGGGAAGTTTTTACGATAATCGCCGACGACCAGTCGGGTGAACGATCGTGTTGAAGTGTAATTACAAATGTAATTGGATGTACTAAGTTGTCTGTGTAATTAGGAAAGTAAAAGGACAATTGAGCTTTGCATATACATTTAATGCCTGCCTGTAATATGCATACAGGATCATTATTAATTAAGTTATAGGGGTAACTAAAAATCGTTTTGAGAGAATAAAACAACCCCACAAACTAGTGTTTAATTTCGCTCTTTTGATCCTTTTCCGGCGAGATAATTCAACGATAATTTTTTTCATCGGAAAGATTAAACCGATCTTTCTATTTAGATACGTTTCGTTTTTCATTGTTTGTTATCGTTAATTCGTTATCTCGCAGAGAAACTGCAAAACCTCACGATCTGTGCAGTTTTCATTCGCAGTAATGCGATATTTTAAGAACATTCTACATACAGGACGTGATATTATCCATCATAATTTGCGAATTGTGCAAAAAAATGGAACATACACTCGCCTATACTGAGTACTGAGAGTTTAATTCTTCTAAAAAAATCCGTTAAAATAAACTAAGAGTAGTACCTAATTTTTTGAATGGAAAAATTAAGTAGAAAAATACGGAGTTTATCATTTAAAATTTCTCCAATATTTATACAAACTGTTTAAATACATGCAAATTTCATCTAACAAAACTTCAAAATATTTCTAAAAATTCCCCCCAAAAAAAATATCCAAAGCATTACAACAAAATCGTAAATACCAGGAACCCATCAAACAGGAAATATAAATAAAAATATACAAAAAAAAAATCACAGTACCTTCATCTAAGCCTCAGCTCCAAGCGAGTACCACGAATATCCGAAACATAACCAAACCACTCGAAGCAGTACCCGAAAGAATATTTTTTTTTTCACACCGAACGCTCCGGTACTACCAGCCCGATATTCAAATTTCGACTCACTCTAGCAACAATTCATTCCCGTTTTCGCGGCAGCCGAAGTACCGGCGGTACCGCTGCGGTTCCCGTTCAAACGACAGGCCAACTTCGACTCGACTGAGGCCTCCTTCGAGTACCCGTCCATTCGGGCAGGCGGGTACTCGACTATCGCAATTGCAAAACTGCTCGACGAAGACCTCTATGTAGAAGTAGTACCGGACACGTACGGTTTTATTTTTCGATAAATTCGCACAAAAAAATTGTGCCGGTGAAACTGTCAAATCGACGGTTTTGGATTTACTGGAGGTTAACGGTCGATTCGTTTCCTGTTGTGGAATTTTCCTTTGTATATATACAGAGGGCGTTCGTAAATATGTTCAAGATTGTAATTTCCCAGAGGGGTGTTTTACGAATAGTGGGCGATGATGAGAAAACTTAAAATGACTGTTTATAACTCATGAAATGGTTTCGGAAAATACTTATAATAATTTTTAGGATTCACTAGGAAAATAATCCTCTAAAGCTCTCAATAAAAAATCTATCTATCATTATGTGTTACATATTATTGCAAAGCTGGTAAAAAAATGTTAATAAAATTATTAAATAATGAAATCTAGACGTTTTGTAATATGGGATTTTTGAAATATGCAAAATTCGCAGTTGACAGGAAACGTTTACAATTTCGCCATTGTTTGTTATTACGAATTAAAATAAAAAAGTCCTATTCCTTGCAATACGATAGGGTCATTGTTCAATAATTGTGTTGCAAGTTCGTTGGCAGAAGAAATCATAAACCAACTATATTATATACCTGATGATTAAACACTTTTTGCCGATTTTTCAAGGATTTTTTTGGCGAAAAATTGATTTACATTGCTTTTTGTAATCATTTTAATTGCTGATAATCTACCACCAATTCCCTAATTTTTAAATGTAATTTTTTCCGGGTTAATTGAATTTTCTGTAAAAATCATCATTTTCTTTCGCCCCAAATGTGGCAGCGAAAATTATTTTTTCGTTTCGGACCGAAATGTTTGCCAGTAACAGGGAAAACTGAGGAAAAATAACACCCGATTGCCGCATAAAAGGTTATTTATGAAGGTAAGATATTACTTGATGAACCAGCAATATTGAGGCAAATAGGGAATCTCGCCTAATACACCATTTTGATTAGGGATGTTTAGTGATTCAATTTTTAATAATTACATAAATTTCACCACTATCCTAAGTAGGAGTTACAGGATTTTTTTAATAGATATGCAAGTTTTGAGGACAGTTTTGTTTAAACAGATCTGATTTGTGTATGTTGAGCCCTCTTTCGTTGACTCGAAAAATTGTACGAAATTAAAATCGAAAAAAACAAAAACGTTAACATTAATAACGTTAACGTTACAAGTTAACTTTAACGTAGACGTTAAAAGTATGGCTTTCTGTTGGTAGATGGCGGAATGAATATCAAATTATTTCGATGGGTTTAAAACAAACTTTATAGAAATTATTTTGTAATAAATTTAATACACTTATGTATATAAATATACAGGGTGTCAGGAAACGATGGGGAGTAGAAGCTTAATATAATTTATTCCTGTAAATTTTGCTTGGAGTAGTTACAGGAATATAGGTCGATTCTACTGACAAAATTTTAGGAAAAATATTTTTTGCAGTAATTAAACACTTAAACAACGCCGGAAAATGTAAACACGCGACTAAAAAAAATTACAAATATACGAAAATCGTATCGAATGTTGATAAAATCAGACAATTTCGGCGTTCGATTGGGAAAGTCATCGACCCTACTTCCATTGAAAAACACGAATCAAACTTTCCTTATACAGGTATACAAACTTACCCTAAAACGATTTACTGGCAATTATTTGCACACTTAATAGTAATTGATTGAAACGCGGAAGGAATCCCAGTTCAATAAGAACTAACAAAAGGCCTATTCGGTAAATTAATAACGTGCCAGAAATTTGATTAATGCGATTCCGTTTGCGTATAGAAATGGATATTTTTCGATGCAAAAGGGTGGATTGACAATATAAAAAAAATATAGTGTTTTTTTACGAGTTATTTTATTGGTAACTAACAGAAATCTAATCACTTGTTCGATCAGAGAAAAATGAGAATATAGATTTTTTTACTAAAAGAATTAAATTAGTTTTATCTCAAGACCCAGATGTTTCTTAACAGGTCTCTCCCAAGCTGGTCTCTTCAGTTTTCTCGATGAATCTTCAAATCTTTTTAGTTCTTTTCTAGTCACTTTAAATTTCTTCATCAGATCTATAATCATAATGCAAAAAAAACACATCAGAAAATCACCCTATAAAAGAAATATTTCGACAAACTAAAAGCCTTGTTTTCGAATAATAACTTATCCATTTTCCTTATCCAGTTTCCTCATCAATTAAAAAATCTACCAGATACACATTCCAAAAGAAATTCATCACCCATCATTTGCAATTAGCGAAATCGATCATTGCACAAACAATGCGAAAATCGTCAAGCCGTTCCACCTGAGTCATCGGTTCAATTAACCGCTTAGAAACCGCAGGGCGTCAGGGAAGGGGCGGCAAAACCGCCACCGCCACCGCCACATCAAACAATTCGAATATCCCTCTCCTCCCTTATTACCTCCAAGGGTCAACGTCGTATCACACTACACCGTAATACTCTATGCAAGCCATCGATTCTTATGGTTATACCTCTACTCTTTTCCACTGAACGTTATGCTGAGGTAACCCGCTGTATCGGATTGGTCTCTTTCGTTTATTCCGCGGTTGACCATCGGGATTATTGGCCGAAGCGCCTGGTACAAAAATTAAATACATGCTGGTTTAGAAAAGTATTTTTTTTTTTCGAATTGGAGATTACTCAGTTAAACGATTTTAATGGTAGTATGTTATTGTATATGTTTTGGGGTTTTGTTGCTTGATAGAGTTGTGTTCTAATAATTTGTGTTGTGTAATTAGTTTAATAATTAATAAAAAGTGAGAGTTTCGCTAGGTAGCGGTCTATTAAGGAGTACATACATATTTTATGTCGGTAAGTATTGTTTGGAATAAAATAACTGGTGTGTGGTTTGTTTTTGATTATAAAATATACACACATCGTAATTATAAAAATGGTTTTAAATTTTCTTTAATATTTTAGTTGGTTTATTAATACAATTTTATCAACACATAATTTATTTATTTTTGTCGTTATAATTACATACCTACCTTTTTTTTCTTTCTTAATTCATTTAAATTAATAATCCACAAAGTCATTTTTCATTTCAAGTTTCTCATTCGCAAATTAACCCTTATATACAACTTTTATCGAGTCTCTTATTTATTTGGATTGACGTTGGCAAATTACATTTGTACAATTTCATTCCAATTTGCTATATTTTGACCTTAATTTGGCACCGATTTGGGGCTCGCGAACTTCCTGAAAACTTCAGAAAAAAATTTATGTTCCTCGAAAATGCAGAAATTAGTTTATTACTCCCGCAAGGCGCTCGAATTAAATACAAACGGGGCACTTAAAAAGTAATCTAGCAATCTCAGAAAGGAAAATACCAAGAAAATTTACATTCGGCAGTTTCAAATATATCATTTTACATTTATATAGCATTTTACTGCATATTTTTACCAAAAAACGCCTATTTCTAGGCTCTAGAAATCTATAAATAGATTTAAATTTACATTCGGGAACGATAAAAGAACCTTTTAGTTTTGAAGATTTTGCTGCAGTTTCAAATATACTGCTCCACAAAAGTAGAGATCACAAATATAGAGATTAATTTAAAAGTTACAGGTTTTTTGATCGCCAAATTTAGTAAGAGTTGTAGAAGGAAGGAACAAAAAAATTCACTCAGATATGAGAGAAAACATTTAATTTCGCATATTTGAAAATTTGGTGATCAAAAAGTCTGTAACTTTTAAAATAATCGCAAAATTTGCGAACTTCCTTACCTTTTGTAGAGCAGTTTGCATTTTACTGCACATTTTTACCAAAAAAACGACATTTAATTTAGCAGATTTATTTAATTTAGATTTCTATTAGCAGTAAAAACCACAAATTTTCAATCCGATAACTATCACAACAATTTACGATCACCACCTTATCTCCTGCAATGCAATTGATCTACAAACACGTCAAGATACGAGCAGGAGATCAGATAATGTGACAAAATTAATCGTTGTGACCCTCGCAGAACAATTTCAGCAGGAACAATATGCGATGTTGCGTGTTTCGGAACGGAAAATAATCAACCAGGCGAATGTTCGGCGAATTTCTATCGCGAAAACCTCTCTCAACGAATTGCACTGCAACCATTTCGGAAACAATGCAAAAGATCCAGAAGATTGAGAAATTTAGTTAAACGGTTGAATTCTGGTTAATTGTAGAAGATGTTTCGGTCGATTGGTTGTTGAGGATCTTCAAGAAGATTAATTTTATGATCTTTAAAGGGATTAAAATGTATAAACAGGATCCGTATCCTTGAACCTAGTTTGAATCGTTATAAAACATTTAATGATGCATTTGCTTGCAGTAACCTTTTCGAAACGAGTGTAATTGGTATAGAATTAGGACCTGATTCTTCAATTTTATCAGTGCCATAAACTCTACGGTTCGCCAGCCAGCCGGAAGCGATGTTCGTTTGTCCATTCGAAAAGGATGCTAATTAGGATGAAATTTTTATTATAGAAACATTTTTCTATAAGGCTATACATAGCCTAGTTTGTGTGTTTGAATTTTGCCCTTCTAGATTTTCCCTGTCCAAGGTTAAATGCAAATTCCACGAATTTCAGTTTTTCCTATGAATCACGCGAAAGCTGACGCACGTTCGAACGGTCACAAATTTCTATAAGCTCGTTATTTAGCTTTCTTTTTTAAAGTAATTCATCTAAAATCCGGAATTAAAGCTCCTTGAAGATCCAACGAAAATGTCGAAATAATTACGTTTTGCAGCAACGATTGCGACACTCTAACGTTTTCAAATATCATATTATGAGTTTATCCTTCTAGCGATGCGACTGTAATATTTATTATCAACGTTCCGGAGCATCAAACTCGCCCGGAAACTAACACTTTCGCAGTTTCCGCTTCGGCCGTCGAACAAAAGAATTTAACGATATTTTTTTTTGTGTTATTTCTATTCGAACATTCTGCATGCCCGCCAACGGATAAACAATAATTTTTAATTCGTAATTAACCGTAACTTCGTTGGTGACATTGTGATGAAAATATTTGAGTGGTTTTAATTAGAAATGCGTTTTATGTTTCGGTAAATAACTAAGCCTTGAGGTAGTTAGAAATTTCAGAAGTTGCCTTTGTATGAAAAAGAAAAATATTTTACCCTTCGCATTTTACTAAATCAGATAAAAATGTCAACGAACTTACCTATTCATCAATTTAGGTACCTTTATTCAGAGGCGGATTTATTTACCTATTAATTTATTATTTAAACATATTTTATATTATTTGATTACATCTACAAAAATTCATAAATATAATTTTCTAATCTACCTAAAACTCTAATAATAATTAGACATTTTACTATAAAAATCTTTAGTAACATTTGTATACCCAATATCTTAAATTCTTTCAGTACGATTCTGTATTAATGTGAAATAACACGAACAAAACGGCTTATTTTCAATGTCATTGGTGATCAGATATCGTTTATTGTTTGACTATAATTAGTGAAATTCGTTAGGGTGAATAATAAAATTTAACCAACACTTACTAGTAGGTATAAAGTCATGGTCACTGATGAATAATATATGGATACACATTTAAAAATACATGTAAGAAGTCATTGGATTAGAAAGAAATTAATTTACGATTGAAACAAGTCGAGCAATGAATTAAAAGACAAGTAAAAGCGCAGTAATTGCAGTTATTACAGAACTTTCAATTTCTGTTCGAATGCGACATGACAACATTAAAAACGACCATACGATGACAATTTCTATATTTTAATTATTTCTTTGATTTATAATTCGCGGTATAGACAAGAACATAAATTACTGTGATACTTTTAACATATTTAACAATTAATTAGATATTGATCATTCACAAAGAGTTCATTTCAAGTTTTCCTTAATTTATTGAAGCACCTCCTGCATTCGATGACGCATAACCGTTATTAAATATACCTTATTTGCTGTAAAAATATCGTGTACCAATTATCGTTGAAATTTCTGTCAATGAAATCAATACAACAAACCTACATATTTTACGAAAATGATAATAAGCAGATAAAGTGGACGTCCTGGGAACTGATCCACCTGTAATTGCCTTATCCTCGATAACAATTAGGTGTTTTACTTTCGTATTATTCCAACGATGGGGTCACGTTATCCCAAAACACGTGAATTTCAATACAGAACGATAGAAATTAAATATTAAAGTTGTTACAATTTTTTTAATATTAGCATTTACCTACTAGAAATAGCTGTGGGTAATTTTCCACATTTCTTGCCCCTTGACCCATTTAATAGCCCGAGCTTTGCGAATTTACGTTTGCCGTTAGACATGCAAATACGGACAATTTGTCTGCAAGATCTAGGTTAATGATTTGCATAACATAAAACTTTAGAAGTCGATCGGACTTGAAGATAGAAGGCTTTCTTCCAGAGGTGCAAATTCGTGACTTCCAAACAGATAGGTTGATTAATAACAACCCTCTATCGTCTAATCTAGACCAGGAATAACGGAAGTAACTTCTAATTTCTCTCGGGGAACATTACAGAAGATGTGGGTGATCCTCCCGGCAGCGCTCCTGCCCCTGCTGGTCGCCTCCACGCGCCCCGATTGCTCCCGAACCGACTACGACAAGTGCATCGAAATCGCCGATCCCCTGGTGAAAGAGGCCCACCTGGTGTTCCCCGACAACATCAACGACATCGACCAAGTCTGCGCCACCTGGAACCGGTTCGTCGACTGCCTGAAGCGCTACACCGACGATTGCTTCACCGACCAGCAGAAGAGGCTCTTCAACAGGGCCGTCGAGAGCCCCATCGAGAGCGTCCACGAGATGTGCACCAATCCCGGCTACCAGATAGGTAAGAATCGATCGAGGAACCTCCATGTTTATAGATACTAAATGGTTTTACATGTAGAGTATTTGAAGTATGCTCCGTGCATAAAAAGTACAATCGTCCAGAGGATCCATTGCGGTCCTCAATACAGCTTGTTGGTGGACCAAGTGGATCAAGGCGATATTATATCCAAATCTACTTTATGCTGGTATGTATAAAACTGTATTTTCCTCTTGCGTTTGAAGTTAGTAATGCATTCTTGTAGCTCCCACGATAGATTCAAGCAGTGTGTCCAAAGAGAGACCCGCAGGCTCTGCGACTTGGGCAAACCGGACGGAGCAGCGACGAAATTCGCCACACAAATCATCGACAAGGCGCTGCGATTCCTGCAGGAGCAATGCTTGAACTACATGTACGACGAAACCGCTTCAAACTAAACAGAATTCTTATCTTCCAACTCGTTTCCAGACCGAATTCCGGCGACTGCCAGCTGCAGGTCGATCCTCACTCCGGGAGATCGGACGCCCTGGGCATCACCACGTGGGGCGCCGAGACCGAGGGGGTGTTCCCCAGCGCCAGTCCCTCCGGGGGCCCGTCCACGAATCCGTGGGGGTCGACGGGGTTCTTCAAGAATAGAGCGGATGCGGCGAGTGTATCGCCGAGCGGGGATTTTCTGGGCGCCAGGTCGAGACCTGGGTCGTACGGGAGGGCCAGTTGGAGCGATTCCAGCGCTGGTCAAGCGCTGGGGAGCAACACCGTGCAGATGTATCCCGAGGTGTCTTCGACTAAATCCACGCGGCCTGAATGGTCTTCTTCTTCTTCTGCTGGTTGGGATGGTAGGCTGCAGAGTACTAGTCCTAGTGAGTGAATTTGGTAATAAAATAATTTGTTGTATTGGTGATTGTGTTTTTGTAGGTGTAATTGGGTCGACGAGGGGTAGTGTGAGATCTTTCTCTTCGTCGGGAATGCCGGTTGAAGTTACTTCGGAAACGTGGTATCCTGCAGCGGGGAATCCGATGAGTAATGAAGTGGATGCGCCGAATAAATTGGGATTGCAGAAGCCGAAGAATTCTGGTATTTCGCTTGGATCTCCGGGTGGTGTTTGTTATATTATCATGCTGGTTATTAACGTTGTTGTGGTTCGATATTAGTTGAATTTTATTAGTGTAGTAGAAATAATGTAGTTACCGGTATTTATAACATCACGTACAAATTGGTTTGGTTGAAATTTAGTTAGTTTACACATGTTAAGGTGAGATTTTATTTAATTTCTAGACTCGGTGCCTTCCGATGGGGGTTGTAAATATTGTTTAAAGCCGTTGCACGTCGATATAAATAGTTTTGCGGAGGTAAAAATTTGAATAAAACATCGTGATTAACCTTTAAGCTAGTCAAATAAAAATGAATTTTATTTTAAGGTATATATTTTGTGCGTTTTATTTTTTACGTTTTGTAGTTTGGAATTAATGCCATTTTAAATAATGTTCGAATCTCCAATCCACTAAAATTTGCTGCTTTTGTGTAAATGTAGAATTAAAACTTGCACCTACAGTTCAAAGACATCTTTAAACATGTACAGATATGCAGGAGTAAATTTATATATTTCATACAAAGCGATTACTTTGTAAAACTAAAAATTAATAAACGTTTAAAAGTATCTCTACACTATCCCACCTTTATTTATCCACAAATAATACATAAAAAAAATACACAAAACATTTTCGAAATATTTATTCATCACTAGAGTTAAATAATAATGCATAACATCAATATCACTTTAAACTTAAACATATAAATACGCTATAATTGGAATGAAATTAAATGAGACTGATTAACATAGAACATATTTTCATACTTGATACGCGTGTACTTCTCTTGATAAATTTAAATGATTTAACTCTTCAAAATCGATTCGTACGCTTGGAAAACGTAGGGCGCCACCTCGACCGATCTCGATTTCAAGCTGAGCGTCGCCGTCGGGACGCCCGGCTGCAATTTCAATTCCAACAACACCCAAATGTTGTTCGTCAATTTCAGCGATTGGTACAACATATCCTGCCCTTCGACGTTCCTCTTCGCTATGGTGAAGATGTTGTTCAACGTCATTTTGTTCGAAACGGTGTCGGTGTTGCCTTTGATGTCGTTCAACGTGTACTGGACCTGTACAATTTATTTTTTTTGTAATAAAGTTAGTAGAGGGTTTAGTAGAGAAAGATTTGTTGTATGTACAGAAAGCGCTGTAAGTACAGAAAACGCTACAGGATTGGTTGAATTTTAATTACACAAAAATGATTCTAACGAGGTAGGTATTAATTATTAATAACATATCAACAGGTATATTTACAATGTAACATTAATAATGGGATTTTTATCAATCATCATATTATACAAAGTACAAAATCCTGCAGGCAATACTTTTGAGATTCCTAATCTTATTCTTGAAAAAGACCGACTTGATGAAAACTCTACTACTTAATTGTCTATGTTATTTACAAAACAATATAATCCTTTACCAAGATACCTACTAAAAAACCAAGTAAATGAGACAATTATCGCAAACAATACTAGCAATACATTTTCATTTCTTTTTTAATTAAAAACTTATAGCGTATATTCTCACCATCAAACACAAAAATGTTACCCCGTCGTTATTTTAGCATAGAAACCAAACATATTTTTTTTATTACACCTCCAAATAAGTACCAAAATAACGTTCACATCTACCAACATACTGACCTCATTAGCTCCCGGAATGTCCCTCCAAGTGGTAAGGAACACCCTCTTATCCAGAGTACCGTCCTCGCCGAACAATATCTGGATAGGTATCTGGCAGGCGTAGTAAAACACGTCCACGTTGTTTTTAATGGCGATCTGGAGCGTCATTAAAGGATCCATCCGTTGAACAGGCCCCGTCGTGTTCAACGGTAAACTGTATTCGAGATTTTGGCCCGGCTGCAGGGCCGGCACGTTCATGGGCGCGCACGGCGTGATCCCGAAGCTGTTCTTGTTGAATTGAATGGCGAAACCGGACATGGCCTTTAAAAGATATTTCACTCGATATTATTCGATTGGACGCTGATGAGTGAACTAGTAAAAGGCCGAGTGCCAGTTCGGAATAGTTCGGATCCGCGCAAAAGAACGAAAAATGACAACACAATACGTCAATTGTCAATTTGGATTAGTTCCAAAATGGCGGACGATTGGCATTTTTAAATCGCGATTGCGAGATGGAACGAAGTTAACCGGGGAAAAGAAGGTCATTTTCGTAATCAGCGGATCCGTTTCCATCTTCTTATACATCTCTCCGGTCCCAAATAATCAAAAAAAAAAACAAAACTCTCCAATCCTTTAGTATACTTTAGATGATGATGAAAGTGCTCTATTCGAACTATCTGTTGCAGTTCAACGAAACCTACCTGCATAGCCTTATTGGTAATAGTCATTTCCATGGCCATCTGACCGGACCGTCTGGAGAAAGTACCGTAGATTTCCATACCCTTGCCCTTTTCGGCGGGCAACCAGATGACCTTCGGAGGTGTATACATAGTAGGAGCGGAAGGTATTCCGAATATATCCCCCAGAAGACCGGTGGTGGTGGGAGCGGCGGCGCTAACGGCGCCACCACCGCCGATATCACTACCGCCTCCGAGCTACAAAAACGCAGTAATTAAATTTAACAATCGCGAAGAGAATCGAAGAAATGTATATACCAAAACGTCCAATCCACCGCCGAGCAAATCGACGTTGCTAGCCAGAGGGGCGGCGGGAGCGGCGGCGGCCGAGGGAGCGGGCGCGTTGATATCCATAGAAAGCAAATCTCCGATGAGGCTCTCTTGGTTCGGGATGACCGTCGTTTCGGCGGCGGCGGCGCCGGCGCCGGCGCCTTCATCGGAACCTTGCCTGGCCGGCAACGTTTTTCTGATACCTGCGAAAAAAATTCCCATTTAATTCGGTTTATATAAAATCGTTTTTGAGGTTAAAACTCACCGGCACTTCGGCCTTCTACGAACGCAGTAGGCGGTTTGTGATAAACGCTAGCGAGCGATGAGATGTGGCAGATGAGCTCGTCGAGAAGAGTCGGCTCCAAGAGGTCCGTTTCTTCGGAAATGAGCGGCTTATCGGCGAGCACCACCTCCTTGGCGGCGGCCGGATCGGTGCTCAACAACCTAAAGGCGCGACAAAACGAAGTAGATGTCGTTTAGAGTGCATTTAAAGAACATCATTTACCTCCAGTAAATGAATCCCCTGTCTCTCAAATCGGGATTGTCGGAGTCTTGAGTGGCCAGGCTGAGCACGTGCTGGACGAGGCCCTGCGTGTGTTGGGGCCGCTTCAGGAACAGCTTCACGACGGCCGTGAGCAGTTGCAGTTGGACTTGGGCGTTCTCGTCGCCGAAACCTTTCGAAAATTCGACGAGTTTATTGAGTGATAGGATAGGATTTGCGATTGGGCGAATACCTTCCAAGAAGCTGTCCAGCAATTCGTCGGCGTTGTCGATTCGCTCGGCGTATTCTCCGATGATCCAGACCATGCTGGCTCGGGCTTCCGGTTCGTCCAGGGTGTCCAAATTTTCGCACAACGTGCTAATGATGCTTTCGTATTTGTTGGGATATTTTCTAAAACGGAATTATATATTAAAAATGCATGTATTTTGAAGTATTTTAAACGTATCCAACGAGCTCAGTACGGCTCTGCTCAATAATCTCTAGTGTACCTACAAGTAAAAGGCCATACGTATAAACGAAAAGAAGAGAAGAAAAATGTCGATGACATTTGACGTTTCAACGTTAATAAAAAATTTCCGATACATAAAACTGCGGATTTTATAGATTAGTAATTAGTTTTAAACAAAATAGGAGGTACGCAAGTGCAATAAAATCGCGTAAATTGAAGGCGTGACATTTTATCTAACAAACGAGGAGTAAAAAAATGTTGGACGAAAAATTGCTGCAGGAACGTTTGGCCCAATTCAAACCAGCCCCCTTAGTCGATGCGGATTCCACGAAAACGAAGGACTCGATAGAGTCCTATGTAATCGAGGAGGACGAAAATAACATCGATTTGGCCAAGACGAATTTTCTGAATTTCTTAGACAACGAAGAAATAAAACATTCGGCCGAGAACATAATCAGGAAATATGGGGTAGGGACCTGTGGACCCAGAGCCTTCTATGGTAAGAGACTATTACTCTTCGATTATATCTCTGTGAAGATTAAATCGATTTACACAACTTAACGATGCGTTAAATGAAATGTTTACGATAGTGTTCAACCAACACTGTAATTAAGGAATGGTAGTAAAAAAACCGAAGGCTTTACAAGCACGTTAAATATTTCACATAAATGCAGGTTGAGCAACAATGAAATCAACACACAAACATTAAATTTAATATTACACTTCCTCTATTCGTACCGAGAATTTTACTACGTTACTTCTATTCCAAAGGAAATTACATATAGAAATCGATTAGAATTATAACCCAATTATCTCGCAATTAAAAAAACTCTTACAATTGAATTTCTAACCGATATGATATTAAACCTATTTCGCAGGTACGACCGATGTTCATTTGGAATTGGAGGAAAAAATAGCCGAGTTTTTGGGAATGGAAGAATCCATCGTGTACTCTTATGGTTTCGTAACGATTTCCAGTTCGATTGCGGCCTACTGCAAGCGAAGCGACGTGATTTTCGTCGATAAAGAGACCAATTTTCCGATAAAACAAGGATTACTCGCTGCGAGAAGTAAAGTGATCTACTTCGATCACAACGATCCGGATAGTCTGAGGTCGGAGGTCCAGAAAGTGGTACAGAAAGAGAAAAAATCATCGAGGAAATTCCTGATCGTAGAAGGAGTATCGTGGAAAACCGGCAAACTGTTACCTTTAGAGGAATTCCTCAAAGTGGCGGAGGATTTTAAAATGAGAATTTTCCTGGAAGAATCTTACTCGATCGGCATCTACGGGAAACACGGGAAAGGCATCACGGAGCATTTCAACATCGATCCCACCAGAATCGATATGATCATCGCTTCTTTGGAAGTCGCTTTAGGTACTATAGGAGGAATTTGCGCGGGTTCGCAAACTATCATAGAACATCAAAGATTATCAGGGGCGGGATACATATTTTCAGCCTCTTTGCCTACGTTTTTGGTCCAAGCCTGCTTGGAAGCCATCCGATTACTGGAAGACAGACCGGAAAAACTACGAATTCTGGCTAGAGAATTTCATTTATTCTTGGAAGAAACGTGCAACTTTAAAGTCGAAAGCGATCCAGATTGCGCGTTTAAAGTATTTACTGTTAAAGATGATCAAAATCGCAAAGAAAAAGAAGAAATCGTCCACGATTATTGCAAAAAGGAAGGTGTACATTTTCTAAAATCCGAAGCGGGATTGGTTATAAACCTTTCGATTCATTTACAAGAAGATAAATGTAAATTGGATAAAGTACATCAAGTTCTACTAAATGCCTCTAAATTATAAATAATTTTTAAAGTAAAAAATTTATCAATTACGCGTTATTAATAAGCTTCATTCGAGTTAATAGTTTGTTTGAAATTAGTTATTTATCCACCTCAAATATATCGATTTATCACTGTTAGTAAAAAATATTAAAATATAATAGAAAATATGTTTATGCAAAGATTTTAATATCATCAAACCTATTAGGTGTAGGTATAGGGAAGTAACATTAAATTCCCGTACTTGTACCGCTGATTTCATTAAAATAGAAAAAAATGGGTGGTTCTATTTAAAAAAAAAATTAAAAAATTTGATATTTTTGAAGTTCAACTTTTCACAATTTTTGTATACACCCTGTATAAAATAAAAAGTTTTTTAACACAGATTCAAATACCTTTGACCTTGCTAGTAGCCCCCCTACAGAAATCGTTTTCATATCTCTAAGGAGATTCTCGTAAAAAAATAATTTATAAGGGTCTGCATCGGTCAAACTTTTCAAAAAAAAATTAATAACCCAAGAAGTATGCATTTTTAAAAAAAGTGTTTTAGACAAAAGTACCCTAAAGTTTTACGTAGATTTCGAAAATACATGAATACATGTATAGCAAAAAAATTACAACTTACCTGAAAATATCTTTGATAACGACGATCGCCTCCTGTACGACGTAATTAACTTTGGTCTGGATCAAATCCAACAGCGTCGCGACGCACCTTTCCGCCGACGGTTCCACTTTGATGGCGCATCGACCGATCGCTCTCACGGCTTTCCTCACGAAATCCACATCGACCTCCGTAGCGTATTCCTTCAACTCGCTCAGAACCTGAGCGATGTTCACTTGCGATGCCAATCGAATCATTATGTCCAATTTCTCCAGTTTCACGTAAATCGGGTCGTTGTATTTCACAAAAAACACCTACAACAAAAACCAACTTATTACACAGTCGACTTTCATGAATATTACAATTCCTCGCCTTCATTTCGTGCTTCAATATGTCGGGCTTCTTCTGTACGATCAAATTGATGTTCCTCAACGCAACGTATTGCACCTCGGGCTCGGAGCTCAGCAGGGTAACCAAAGGGGGCGCCAGTTTCTTGCTGAGCGTGTTGCAAAATTCGGTGTCACCCGCCAAAATCTCCATCATTTTGATCAACACTTTAACAGCCGATAATACAACAGCCGCGTTGGCGTGGGCCAATCGAGGAGTGATCCTTTCGCAGATGCTTTGGGCTTCTCGTTCATCACGAGGAGTGTAGTTCGATAGGGAATCGAGTATAAATACCTGGCCCCATTCGGTGCATTCGTTCAGAGCGGTTAGGAGCTTGTTGATCGTGTTGGTGCTCAATTCTAAAAGGGCGTATATCAAGTTTTTGTTATCGATTAGATTGTTGAGCGTTTACCAACGAGGGGCTGTCCCGTAGGGCTGCTTTCGTTGATTTCTGACAAAGCGGCAACGGCGTTGGCGACTACCATCGGATTAGAATCGCTTAATAACTCTTTTAGCTGTTCGAGGAATCCCTGGTCTTCGACTAATCCTAATAGATGAGTTTATCAGTCATTAGAATTCGATAAATCGATAACTCGATGGAATTTACCTGATGAAATATCGTACAGTTTAGCGACACAAACGGCGGCAGTTTTTCTAACATAAGGATCTTCATCTTTGAGACATTTCCTTAGAGGTTCGCATAAATATTCAGTGATTTTATCGACTCGAATGCAACCCATTGTTCTAACAGCTAGCGCTCTAATCAGAGGATTGGGATCTTCGCAATCCTGTTAATAAAGCAAAAAAATATATAGTTACATTAACGTGAATCTCTAAAATTTCATGGAGTGAAATCTTACTTTAACGAAGGTATTGACTGCCATAATAGCCATATCGGGCTGCGATTTGGCGTAGTTCATCAAATACAAGTAAACCAATTTTTTAAGTTCCAAATTGTCAGTTTGCATGCAATTCACGACATCGGGGAATAATGCTGAGACATCTTTGCCTACAGTCATAGAAGCAATGACCTAAAAATAACCAATATATTGACTTATGTACTCGAATTGATTACATTAAGTTTCATTTTTTAAGTAAGAATTAGGTTAAACGTAATGCAGTTACTACCTTTTTAACGGCTTCCTTCTTTTTCTCCTTCTTATCATTGTTGAGTTCTGACTTCAATTCGAATATTTCTCCCTTTTTGGTGGTTGTAAAATACTTCGAGTCGGTCATTTTAACCTGGAATTTTAGTTGAACCGTGAGTGAAACGAATGATGGAAATATGTAGATTGAACAAATAATTCAATTGTAATAAATGCATACCTTTATCGCAAGTAATTATTGGCAAATTTTTGGAAATTAATAAAGATAATTGTGATATTCCTCAAAAACGCCTATTATTTTGACGTTTTAAATGAAACGTCAATCCGGTAGCTGTCGTCTGTCAGCTCAGCTCTTCTTCATTTTCTTTATGAACTCAATTTTTAAAAACTTTTAATCTTTAACTGTATTGTACTGTACTGATTATTCATTTCATAATAGACAAAATAAAAGAATTTAAAATCAAAATAGACATCTATCTTTCCCTATGAATGAAGTCGAATGTGTGTCTGAATAGTCATATAGCTGAGGTCTTAAACGAAGTAAGAAGAAAAAATCAACTGTCAAATGTGTCAAATATCAAAACATTACAAGATTTCAAAAACAACAACAACCTATTATTTATTTATTGATAATTATTCGTTATTAGAATTAATCTTGATGATAATTACACTTTGTCAATAATGTAGGTGCTAGAATACACGTTTATCGCGTCGCTTCGATTTTACTAGAGTAAGGTAACTGTAACAAATACAATTATAATCAATTCACTGTATATTCAAATAAATCTAATCTTAATTAAAACAATTTAACCTTGATTTTAACTTTAAAATACTCGAATACTTAAGCGTTGATTTCATTGCAACGTTGACGTGTGTCGTGTTCTAATCTAATGACATTTGTAAGTCCCACATTAACTCATATATTCGATTTTTTGTTTCTTCAAAATACATGTGTGACGAAGATTCGTATACCTTTTACTTTTTTTCCATTCAAATACAACCCGATGACATGTCATGTTTTACAGAAGACCTCTCCATCATGGAATCTCTCAGCCTCGCCTTGCAACCTTACAGGGAGAGCATCGGCCAGATAGCCAGCATTGTCACGATAGCCCAATTCTTCGCGGGCACCCTCGTATGCAAGGAGATCTACGAGAAGAAATCCACGAAAGGGGTGAATCCCACGCCGTTCATCGGCGGTATCGCGATGTGAGTTCACTACCTATCTTAATACCCATCATCGTAATAAACGAACCTTTTCAGAGGGATACTAACGTTGAAACTGGCCTTTATCATGAACGACGCAGCCATGTTTCAAGTGAACGTAGCCGCTATAATACTGAACACGTGCTACACGTTGTTTTACTATAACTACGCTGGCGATAAATACGAAGAAGTTTTAAAACCCGTAGGCATGGCCGGTGGGCTTACGGCTGTATTTTTAGGTTATGCGAATTGGGAGGATCCGTCGAATGTGGAGTTTCGATACGGTTTGTTGCTTACTATGTTGATGTTACTGTTACTCGCAGCTCCTTTGGCTGAATTGGTAAGTTGAATGTAAGGGGAAAATTGGTCTTTTTTTAACTGATAATTGGAAGTTTTGTGTAAATTTGGTTGTACCAAAGTAAATTGTGAATAAACTGGTATTTTTGGCCATTGTTAATGCCACAAGATAAGGAATTTTTAATGATTTGTCTCTTAAATATCTCATAGGATATTCTTTATAGTATAATATTTATTCTTTAGAAAACAATTTTGGACAATGAAGATGCATCGTCTATACCATTTCCTCTTACGTTTATGGCCACTTGCGTGACGTTCTTGTGGCTCTTGTACGGTTTAGCTATTAATAATCTGTTCATGGTGGTAAGTACTCTAAATAGAAATTAATCATAATCATTTATATATTATATTTTAGGTGCAAAATGTCGCCGGATTCCTAATTTGCGCTCTGCAATTGTGGCTAATTTACACGTACCCCGGACACAGGTCAGACATTAAACCTAAAAAGAAGAAGCAACAATAGTCCCACTTGAGCCCGGATTTTTCTATAAATACTATTCGCCTCATCGTTTTTTATATTCCAGGTCGACGAGTCTGCTAGAATGAAATTTTTTAAATAGTTCTATCCCGTAAAAAAAACGTTTTATTCATGTACCTGAACGACAATAAACAAACTCTTATTTTTAATTGAAAGTTCTATAAAAATAGAAAGGTTCATAGTACAAAAACTATTCGTACGTTTTAAACTATAATTAATTATTCAGTATTTCAAACATTCTTATACTCTTCTTAGGTATTATTTACATTTCCAGAACGATTTAGAACGCTCTAGAATCATTTAGAACGTTCCAGAACCGTTTAGAACTATCTAAGGTTTACATTCTTTCACAAATAATGTATGTAATGTAATAATTAAATTCAATAATCATCGTCATCTAGGCTATCGTAGTCATAATCAGCCCCAGGGGGCACGAAAGCCCCATTTAGGGCTTCTGTTATTTGTTCTCCGAAGCCTATTCTTGTTGCTATTCCATAGATCAATCTCATAACTGATAATCTGCAAACGAACGGAATATTTTATAAAAATATGCAATTTTTAGAGAGTAAATAAAATTATTTTGAATTATATACACGGTGTTTATTTATTTTAGAAATATTACCTGATGAAATTCACTGGATCAGTTTCCTTGCGCCTCAGAACCATTTTCTTGCTGTATTTTTTTCTAGCTTCTACATAACTAATCATGATTAAAGCGATTGATAAAGCACAGATTAATTGCAAATAAAACTTCATTTTTATAACTAGATATAATGCACTTTTGTTGAAGAAATCGTCGCTTGTGTCGAGCTCCTCGAACTCCAATACTTATTTATTATTACTAATGGGTTGCATGTTAAGATCGTACTGGTTCTTTATATTTTTACTTAAACAAAACCGGGTATCGACAGAATTTTAATTGCTGTGTACAGTTAGTTATACCTAGAGGTGAATTTAAAGCACATCCACTTTTAAAGTAGGTTACATATCAAAAATTTTGTGACACGGATTTCAGTTGGTATTAGGTAAAGAAAAGCTGAATGTAAAGCAATCGAAATTGACCCAAATATCTTCAAATTATTCAATTAAAAATTGGCAATCAAAAAATGTTCGAAAATGGGTCTAAATATTTTAAATTACACACCCTTAAACTCCCTTAAATTTAGCACTTTTTAAACTCAATTTTGTCCAGCTAGAATCTATTAATAAAATCTTGACGATCATTTATTGCCTCCCAAAGCTCGTTAATTCTATTCAAATTTCACACAAATATACTAAAAATTACAAATTCAAATTATATTAAATATTTTGTTAGATAATTTATAACATTGAATACTCTTGGGGGAAGGCTATTTTGATCGATCGAAATCTGAAATCTCCAATGAATTATTTCGCAACATGGGCACAGCCTATCCGATTCAAATTAGCTGATAAATTTTCATTTTATTATTATTTTATGTATTAAATGCGCCTGCAGGGTTGTCCCCGGAAAAATCCAACATTGCTCCTTCGATAATTAATCAATAAATAGCTGGAATTTTTTACCATAAAGAAAATTCTTTAAGTGCTTGATTACCTACATCACAACTAGTTTTCTTTAAAACAGAATTATTCAAACCAGCTCATAGTTATTCAAGAACATTAACAAAGTTTCCTACAACCATATATCTATTTAATTAGCGATACAAATCAAATATTTAACAGAAAACGGACGCGAGTATGTAGACACGGAATTATACAATTCAAACTATCGAATTTCTACGGCCGAAATTCTTTTTTCTGCTCGTTAAATCCACGCACTGGTCGAGCAAATATGTCTATTAGTAAGTAATTGTAGCGCTAATAAGATTGCGTAATTTCCATATCACAATTACATCGAAATCGCTGGAAAGGAGTGCGGATAAAAAATTTAAACATGACGCTTTTATAGTCCGGTTTTCACTCGAAGAGACTCAAATTTTCCTATAATAAATAATTAATAATAAATAACAGGTGTTCAGTTTGCTAAGGAATAGACATTTACACCCACATTTAAAGCTATTTTCGGCAGAACCTGTTGGATTAAAAATACTTTTTATTAGACAAATTGGGCAGGTAAAAACGCTTAAAATGCCTCTTTTGTCAGCTGATCTTCAACTTTAACCTTTCATTATGTAATGTATTTCTTTAGTATCATTCATTAGCTATTTTATCCTCCGATGGCGGTTTATCAGAAGTTGAAATAAATTTACACTAATAGATTTTCAAATAGAAAACATTCCAGTATTAAACAAATTATAACAAAAAAAATGCAGTAAGCAGATACCACTTCAAAATATCGTTAATTTTATTCAAATTATTATCAAAATCTTCTGCTAGTTTTACATAAAAATAAAATACGGTTTATTTATGGTAAAAATAATCCCAAATGCGTCATAGGAGAGTCGGGTATTCACTTAAAACTTCAAGTTTTCTTTAGGTCAAAAACCACAATGAAACACCGCAAATCGCTGGTTATCTCTACCATTAATCCTTCTTCTAAAATCCTTGAAAACTACCATAATAAACACCATAAACCATCTTCCTCACGTGCACGAAGGAATCCTTACCTAAGTCATAAAATTCTCGCATTTTTTGCGTTTTTTTCTAAATAAAAAAAAAACAAAGAGAATAACAAATTTAATTATCTGAGCGCTTACTAACTAAATGTAATAAAAGTTTAATTAACATTGTAATATAATAGCTATCATTAAAGCATTAATATGATGATTTGCTAGGTAGGCACTAAATTTTTATAAATAACCATTAATATTTCATGACTTAATAGACAATATTGCGAATAAAATACTGAAGAGATATCTTTGAAATTGGATAAAGTACTGTGGGTACTTCAAGTACTAGGGAATTGGAGATGACATTTTCGTTAACAATTTAATCACTTAATTTCATTACTTTACTTTCTATTTCAATTAATAATCCTACTAAATTCATCATTTTCTTCACTACTTCTGTTAATATTTCTAACAGTTGTATCCATTACACAACAAAAGCAACTACCCAGCTTTTGAATTGACACATGCAATAAGCATTTCAAGGAATTCAATAGAATTAAAAAATATTATAGGTATGAATATAAAACAATATATTAAAACGAACCTATAAGTTTAATGGCGTTGTAAAAACGCCTGTAAAAAAAATAAAAAGAGGCTTGTTTCGATTCGAAATTCCTCGAGCACAGTAAAATTTCGCAACTCGACCGCAAGCTCGACGCATTTCCCAACAATGCACTAACGCAAAACAGTTTATTGCCAGAGAAAATTTCCCAAGCATTTTTCAATTAGCATCTACACGATCAATTACAAGGCATTGGCAAACAGGGAATCGCGAAGAACCGTTGCGAAAATTGCACCGATCGTGAAATATAAATATTTCGTCTCCAAACTGGAGTGAAAAGAATCGATTATCACCGATAAACCATCGAGATATGGTGTTGGTACTAAACGCCTCATTGACCGGTTCATATTCGTTCGTAACGACGATCAAGTTAACGATCAAGAGGTGCTGTAAATCATTTTCGTTTGCCCCTTCTTCCAGCAGCACCTGTATTAGCTGGTATTGGTACTGAATGCGGGTACTGCTTCATTGTTCGATCGACGATAGTGCTCCGGTCGTACCGCATGTGACTTTTACTTTCGTTCTGGTATATCACAGTTCGAGCCGATTGAAGAAGACCAGGTCCAGAATCGTTCCTGAAACAGTGAGTTTTGATTTTATTTTTTTTTTGGGTTTTTTCGCGAGGTACTGTTTCTAATTTATTTTATATTTTGGTATTTTTATAACAGTACTTGCAAGTGGTACAATTGAGGTAATTGGGGAATTGGTTTAATTGGTTTTTTTTAATTAAATTGGGGATGTTATTGGGGCATTTTGTTAAACAATATAATAAGGTAATAATATCCTTTTGATAGTTGTAATTCTTTGCATTTATTTCTTTCATTAAATGTAATTACCGAGGAAATGACTTGAATAATTAGTAATATCTCGTAATAATCGATATTTTCCTAATTATTAGCCTATAAGTAAAAGTTTTCGAGCGGTAAGTCGCTTTGAATAGAAAATCAAGAGCAAGTGCGCGCGTTTTATCGTTGATCCGCAATTTAAAAGAGATTTTCCAGCAATTAAAAATATTTTGCTTAATATTTCAAAATTCTCTAGGCGTTACAAATGCGAACTAGTTGGGTATTTCACAAAAAAAAACCCATAACTTAATCATTACACATTTTTATATGCGTCTTTAATAAAATCTTCTTGGGCATGTGTTATGTTTATTTGACCATGATCAAGATTCGGCCATGATCGAAATTCGACCATGAGAAAGTAAAATTAAAATTTACCATGCCCATGTTCGACCATGAAAGACGGACTTATTATTCGGCAATCATCGAAAATATTTCGAAAATTGCTTTACAAAGGGCCCAAATTTTTACAGTTAGTTACAACACTTTGTTAACTTACCGATTTTTCTATTGGTTTTTTAGGATTTTTATATTTGCTTTAAGTATTTACTAGACTTGTTAAAGTCAACGGTATATGCAAAGTGTTTGATTAACAACTAATTGAGTGTTGCCAATAATAGAAAAATTTAATATTGATTTGTAAATGTAATTTTACTTGGAAAATCCTAACTGATTTAACCCTACATTAAAGTCTCTTCTGACCTATCCGTGACATTTATGACGGTATTCTCTGAGAAAAAAAAATTGAGAAATATCTACTTGTAGGCACAGCATTTATTCAAATTCACCGCATCTCATCGATATATTATTATTTTATGGGTTAAGGTGTTTCATGATTATACACACTAATAATTCTACCGAGAAATGATCCGTTCTCGAAGAAAAATTTCGAGAATTTACATGCTAAATTCATTTGCGAAATCGTTATACAATATATTGTCGTCGTTAATTGTTATTTAAGCCGGACAATTCGGAATATTTCGATTAGCATTTCTGAAACGGTTCGTTTATTAATCGATGTTTAAATGCGCAACTTGATTTTAAGCGAAACTAAAATTTGGCATTGAAATCTTCGCAATCGGTTATTTGGATGTGTTTTTTTTTTGGAAATTATCTACAGGTACTTTGATTATTAAACTTTAATGAGTTTGTTTGTAATCTGCATGGATGTAAAAAAAATTATCGGTGATTAAACTTATTGCTTCCTGAATTTATTCTTTTATGTATGAGCAAATTGGTTCTATTTTTAATGTTTATATACCTACAAGATTAAAGGAACTTATAACTTAATCGATATTATTTATAATAATTCTTATTGTAATGAAAATAATATCGAAAGTGTGTTATTCATGGCACTCGTGCTAAAATTACAAGTTAAACTTATATTACATACAAGCGTTTCAGCGAAATATCAAATGATTTATGTTCCATCTTATCATTTATCGCCGTTTTGCTTCAATAATTTATCAAAGATACGCCATTAATTCCCATAAAACCGTTGAATTTTAGTTATTTTGTAATAGCCGAGCGGTTCGTTGGATGTTTTTGCATTGCAAAATTTAATTGTTTCAAAATTTATTATTCAAATTATTTGTTTATGTTTATAATGAGTAAGCGATATTTGCATATTTATTGCCTACTTTAGTTAAAATCTCTTGCAGTTAACTATTTTATAGGCAAGGCGATACAAGCTAGAAACATTCAATGGATCTTCGCAATAAATTAGATAATTTAACGATTAGTTAACGAACCGCAATTAAATTAAATTAACTTGTCGCCGCTTTTAATGCGATTTTACGTTAATTAAACCCGGCATTTCCTGTGTCTTCAAAATTGATCGCAACGGATTTCATTCTGATTCTCATTTTCCAACGACACTGACCCAAAACCTGCCAATAATTATTGCCCGACGAAAGTACGCAAGAAAAGAAATCCTTTGAGTTTAATAAGTAAATAAATATTGCACGTTACAATCATATTTACTTACCGGTATTGTCTATCGTTACTCTACGAACATGTTGCAATCGATAAAGTACTAGATTTAGTACCTATATAGAAGAGCCTATAGTGAAGTTGTTATAAGGATGGAGAAGTTTCTGGTTTTGTTGGTAGTGGTGTAATTTATTCAGGAAAAGGATCTGGAATAGTAGCATAAAATGTTTCAATGCAGGTGTTAAATTGCAGGAATATCGGTCGTACATAATTAATTACAGAAAAAATCATAAGTGCATTCGCTGTCACTGATGTAATCGAATTGTGCAAAGATGCAATGCATTCAATCTCGATGGTAATTGGGCAATTAAAAGAAATTTTCGACCGAATTAATTCGGCTCGTTATGGCAGGTTGTGTAATCAATCAATACAGACAGGAAATTTTTAATAAACATTTTCATCGAGTAGAGAAAAAAATTCTAACTTTGAGCATTCTTAACTTCTGTAGAAACGTTCTAAAAATTACCACACGTTTTAGTTTCTGTTTCTTAGTAAAAAATAGGAGAAAATTTAGAGAAAGAATTCTTGAAATCCGAAATTTCGGGCGCGTTTTTAATAATTTCCTAAATGAGGTCGCCGAATCCAATCGCCCGACCTTGTGCAGTCTGTCGGAAAACAACAAAATCAGTCATTAGAAGTGCCTAATGGTAAGGTCGATGGTCGAAAAATCCGGTCGCCCTCTAGCACAACATCTACCTGAAGACTTTGGAAAATGCAAATATTATTGCAACTCTCTCTTCAAAAAAAACCCGAGCGAGAGAAGAACCTTCGAAGGTGGTGTCGAAACTCGAAAAGCCAGTCGAAAGCGGTCTTGATAACAAGCCGAAACGGGTCATTAACTTAATTATGCACCGACAATACTTTATGTTCTGTTTGTTCTAATTTGAAATACCACATTCGATGGACCTTCCCCTAATTATCCACTCAAAACTGTTATAAATACTTCATTTTTGGTACTTTCTTTATGAGCATCAAAGAGGACTTTTTGTGGTCTATCCAGGAAAAGTCTACTTTCTTACGGATTTAGGAACCTGATGCAGGAAATATCGCCTGCGAAATTGTCGTTAAAAGCGAGAATTTTTTGAGGATTTTTGTGTTGCGGATGCTAAACCTGGCTGGCCTTGAAGATGGCGGGCGGGTTCAGAAACGAGGCGATCAATGAATATTTTTGCACGAGGAATTCGGTGATATATGATTATATGCAAATTCGCGTTTTACGCTCAACTAGATAATCGATAATAATCCTGCTAATAGTTTATCTGAAGAAATCCCAATCAATAATAATAATTAATTAATGTCAATGTCATCCACCACTGATGAAATTTCTGTTCGGCATGTTCGAATTTAATTAATTGGATCTTAAGAAAAGATCAATAACTTTTAGGTCAGAATTCCATTGAACGTTTTCAGCTAGAATTTGGCTAGAGGCAGTTTAAAAAAAAACTACAATTTTCCATAAAACACGCAGAGGGAGATTAATATATTCTAATATATGGTATATAAAAATTCTCGGAGTTAATTTACCACCGGAATCGGAATAATTTAAACTAACATATAATTTAATAGTTAGCTAATGTGTATAATTTTTGAATTATTCTCTATTTCGAACTATATTAGTAATTATTTAACTTATCATTGACCTCGTTCAGTGCTGAATCAAATTTTTAATAATCGTTCATACCGTAAATAATAAATTTAATATAACTAATTCATTATTTACCATACACGCGAAATATATGTAATTAACTTTAATATTTTCCAAGTATAATGTCATTCATAAGTTGCTTTACTTCAATGACAAACACGATTTTATGATTCCAAACGATTTGTCGAATTTTCAGCAAAAACAAACGTCTTCCGGTAAACAAATTACCACAAAATTATCCTAATAAACCGATTAATTCACAAAAAAAACTCGGCCCGCTATTAAACCAATCTCCATATATTTCCTCTCGGTATTTCCTACGATTTATTTATAAGGATTACATTACGGAAATTTTCGACGATGCCAATCCGCTTCTAATTACAAATTCAAACAAACACTTCCAGCTAGGAATTCCCGCAATCGCCCAGCGATGGAGCCTTCACAAGTAGCCCATTGGTACCGAAACCAGCACGTCTTCGTCACCGGAGCCACCGGTTTCATGGGCAAAATCCTCGTCGAGAAGATCCTCAGGTCCTGCCCCGAAGTCGCCGCCGTCTACATACTCATCCGCACCAAAAAAGGCAAAGACTCCGCCCAAAGATTGGAAGACTTCCTAGACTGCCCCGTGAGTTATTACATCCTCAAAGAATCCCCGAGGTTCACCCGCATCTTTTCCAGATATTCGAGCAACTGAAGACCACCAGCCGGGGGTCCATCGAGAAGCTGCGCTGCGTCGAAGGGGACATCACGCAGCCGAACTGCGGCCTGTCCGAGGTAAACCTGGCCCAGCTGGAGAAGAGGATCACCAGCGTCTTCCACATGGCCGCCAACGTGCGCTTCGATCAGCCGGTGAAGAGCGCCGTGCAATTGAACACCGGGGGCACCCTCAACGTGCTCGAATTGGCCTGCAGGTTTCCCGATTTGAAGGTGTTCGTGCACGTCTCGACCTCCTACTGTCATTGCGACGTCACCGAGCTGGAGGAGAGGCTCTACAGGGCGCCCCAGGATCCCAGGTGGGTGCCAAGGGGCTGGCGTTTCGAGCGGTTTTTGAGCCGGTTTTCGGTTTCAGGAAGATGCTGGACTTGGTGAAATGGATGGACGACGAGCTGCTGGAGACTTTGACTCCGACGTTGTTGAAAAACTCGCCGAACAGTTACGCGTATACCAAGTGCCTCACCGAGCAACTAGTTACTGAGTATAGTAGTAAATTAAATATAGCCATAACTCGTCCTTCTATAGGTAATAATCTTGTTACTTGCTCATACGAACAGATCCTGCTATTAGCAGTTATCCACCAAGCACTCTTACATTCAATGAATATTGCTTGATGACCAGTTTTTTTTCGTGACTTTGCAGTAACTTGCGTAGCCAAAGAACCTATTCCTGGATGGGTGGACAATCTGAACGGACCAACGGGGATCATTGTAGCTGGTGGTAAAGGAATTTTGAGGACCATGCTGGCAGATATCACGCACAAAGCTGACTATGTACCAGTCGATATGGCTATAAACAGTATTTTGACAGTGGCGTGGAAAACCGGCAGCGAGCCCAGGAAAGCCGAGCCTGAAGTCTACCACATAACAGCCAATAGGGTGAGTTTCACAGCAATTATAGCGCAGTAATAACAAGGTAACGGTTGAACATTGTTGTAGGATAATTCGATAACTTGGGGTGAAGCTTTGGAGATAGCGAAGAGGCACATCTTGAATTACCCGTACAGCGTTTGCCTGTGGTATCCGGGGGGAAGCCCCAAAACCACTTACTTAATGCACGTTTTAGCGGCTTTCTTCTTCCACATCATTCCGGCGTACGTCGTTGATTTCCTGCTGCAATTAACCGGAAACAAACCTTTGTAAGTGAACATTTTTTGGAGGAATCCTCCCTCCTTGGAACCAACTACATTCTCCTCTATACTCTTCTATTTTCAGCTTGGTGAATCTCCAAAAGAGGCTCCATCATGGTCTGAAAGTCTTGCACTATTACACGACGAGGCCGTGGTTCTTCCACAATAAAAAATTCTTCGAGCTCTACGCGTCTCTAACGGACAAAGACAGGGAGATATTTTATTATAATGAGGGGCCGTTCGATCACGAGGAGTACCTGCTCAATTACGTGCTGGGCGCTAGGAAGTACTGCGTGAAAGAGGGCATGGAGACGGTACCGTACGCGAGGAAAGTAATGAGAAGGTGCGTTAAATCGTTTGATAATTTATTTATTATTCTACTTTGCTCCATTTTTCCATTGGGTGCAACAAAGACAACTTCAATTGAACACTTATAAAGGAAAAGAGTGACATTTGTGTCATTGCAACTTGTCACTTTGACAGCTGTCATTTCAATGATCTTTCTTTGTTCCACTCATAGAAATGACCATGTTGCAATCGGATGTGGAGCAAGGTGTATGTGGTTAATTTGTGGTATTTTTTAGGCTTTATTACTTGGATCTCGCGAAGAATGTCATCCTCTACGGATTGATGTTGTGGTTGTTTTATTTGTTCGTTACCAAATTCTTGGACGTTATTGGAAATCCTTTGATATAGTGATTAATTGTTTTAATAAATTTAAGTAACCTAGTTAATTTAAATTGTATGTTTTGTATTCGCTCAAGTATTTTTAATTTATTATGTTATCCTCTATGAAAATAAAAACATTTTTGACTCACAATAATGTCCACAAATCCCTCGTAAATTAGACACTTTACAATAGTATCATAATTTATTATACAGAATACATTAAAATTTACAAAAGTATAAAATACGATTTTCCTATAATCTAGTAACAAAATTAAGAGATTTTAGAATTCATGTGTCCGTTACTCTGATTGTTTTGATTGCTATTATTTTGTTCGGTGTTTCCGTTGGACACGGGAGTTGATAATAATCGGCTTCTCCTTCTCGTGTAATGTTGCCACAGTAATATCTGCTGGTCGTCGATAAATTTGGAGCAATGCGCGTTCACTAATTCTCTCCTAAAGTGCTCGTACTGGAGTAAATCGAGGAAATACAAACACATTGGGTACTTTAGGTACTTGGCGTAGTCGGGTTCTTTCCAATACAGGAGATATTTCAAGTAGTTTATGAATGCGTTGTCTTTAAAGTAGCCCCTTTGCGCTAAAACTAAATCGGAATATTAGATTGTACACTAACTATAAGTAAACTTTTACTTACAATTCAAATAATTGGGATTTCCTAAACACTGTACGAATTCCAATTCTATTTGAAATCTGTATTTTTGTTGTTCCTCCGTTTCTGGCGCACCTGCAACATAATTCCAACCTTTTGAGGCATTAACAACACCGTTGTTAGTGCTTTTAGTCAAACCTTTTCCTCCCAGGATGCCAGCCATTTTTGTTTTGTTTTGGTTAGTTTTTTTGACGTTTAGACTTTCTGGTATGCTACTACTGTTATAGTGTTCAGCTACCTTTCATTTCTTCTTTTTTATATTTATCATTACTAACTCATTAATTTAATAGATATGTATCGGTAGATATTTAAACAGACACGATTAATAATATTTAACTGAAATATTAGTAATTGCGTTTTTATTTTAATTTTTGCTAATTTTAAAGGGGTCGCTATTGGTTGTTAATAATCAGGTGATTGTTGTAGATAAAAATGATTGGTCGGGCACTTGTCAATTTCTGGTGTCAGCTGTCAGGAATTATCATTTCTCGAAGTTGCAAGGTGGTTGGTCAGTTAGTGACAGTGACTGATTTGTATTTAGAATTCGTATCACTTCGGTGACATAAATTAGTTGTCTTGTTGTCTTGTCAAATAGCGATTGTTGTAAATTGTGTAATAAGTGTGGAATTCCGTCGGGAAAAATGTTTGTTGTGCGTAAATAAAATGCGAAAAACATGGGCGCTAAGGATTCAAAGCGGAGCTGCTTGAGTTACGATGATGCCGTTAAACGAAGTATGTAATAAATACCAGTATTTTTGTAACTAACAATTCGTGTTGCTTACATCATGTGATGTTAAAATGTGTATAATTAACTCTTGTACGAATTCAAGGAAATCCATTCCGGACAGTCTTTTTTTAATTCGGGTTGACTTCGTCTCGTCTTCATTCACATACGAAAGTCGATAAACACTGAATTTATAAATGACTCCTTATCTGTTTTGGCGAATTTTTGTTTATTTAATTGCACTGTAAGATAATGCTAAATGTTAACGTCGATTAACTAAGTGGTGATTTCCACCGCTCTCGTTTTAATTTGTTAAATTAAATTAGGAAGTTGTCTAATTTTACGTCGTTTATTGGCGTTTGCTGTTTCCCATTCAAAGTAATTATTTAGTTGAAACATTCTCTGCCACATTATATTATTTAATGTTTATGTGCTTATTCGACGACGCTTTATAAACAATTATATAATTTTATAATGTTAAGGCTCTGACAATACATGCGCAATTTTGTATCGGTGAGGTTCTGTCTAAATTTATGTTATATTTATATGGTAAATTGCGTTCTAATTTCGATAGACTTGCTGGTTGTAAATCAAAAAATTTGTATTACTAAAAAAACTGTGCAGTTTGATTATTATTTATTATTACCATAATAGTACTGCTTATTTTAATTCCTTAAGTGTTCATACACCTTCATGTAATTGCTTGTAGTTTTGTGAACAAGTAGAAAACAGTAATGGATATTTTGTAAAAATTGTCGAATTTCATTTTTGCGATTTATGCTAGATGTCCAGTTTTTTTTTTTGTTGGGATTTGTTTTGTACGCTAAGCAATTGATTAAAATAATAATAAAAGCCTTCAAAAAAGTCCTTTAATCTATCTCGAACTCATTAAAAACCCATAAAAATTAATGGAAAGAGGAAACATGCTTATGAAAATTCTGTTTAAAAATCCCTACAACAAATTGCTAGTGCCATTATTCTTTGACTTTCAGTGCTAATTAATTTCAAATTGAACATACAACTCTGGTTGTTTTGCAATAAATCTTTTATTCAAACAATGTTCTCAAGTGTTAACGTCAGTGTTAATTGTAACTTGTTATTTGTAACCTATTATTTTCCAAAAAAACGTCAGTGAAACACCTTATCTGGTGTCTCCTAGATTTCAATCGGCATTATGGGATTGTGTTATTTAATTTTCGATTTATTTACAAGTATACTAATTATTTCCCTCGTTCGTTATACAATTTCAGGCACTCGAAGTGGATTTTACGCCTCGTTACTCGATACATTTTTCTCGAATGTTTACAAAACAAATTTCGATAAAATCGAATTTTTAACATGCCCCTCGAACACAAAGCGAATTCACCTAATATGTATTATCTCTATTGCTATTTTTAATATTTTTCCATTTCACTACGACTGATATTAGAACGTCGATAAGCGAATTGTGGACGATTTTAATGTGTTTTCGATTTTTGCGCTCGAATCGATTTCGCAATCGTTTTGTCAAACTACTTTTTTTTTTACTATTCGAAAAGATTATTAACCGATCATTAAAACTTTATGAATGGCAATTGAATTGCAAACAATAAGCCGTATTTATAAAAAGAAGCTTCAACTTTTGCTTCAAAAAATGAAGGAATTGCTTCAAGGTATATGAATAAAAAGACAACCTTTAAAAAAGACAACTTTAAAACAAAAGGTTTTATGGTTATACCTTTGTATAAGGTTTTAAAACCTTGTTCTCTTGAATTTTGCTTCTACCTTTTACTTCAAAGTAAATGCTTCATTTTTATAAATATACTAAAATGAAGCTAAACTAGACACTTATTACAGCTTAAATAACTCACTTATAGGTTACGAACGATTATCACGAGGTACTAAAAGTTTATAGGAGACGATTGGAGAGTAACTTAACAATTATTAATATTTTTTTCCAGTGTCAGATGTGGAATACAAGAGAGTTTGCGCCGCCTTCAAGAGGCTCACCAACGGCGGGCAATTGCTCAGCCGCCACGGTTTCACCCAGAACGTCCTCGGCGATGGAGTACCGTTGACCATAGCAGAGTGGCTGTTTACCGCCTGCGGTGGAGGCCCGAGGGGCATAGCCCTCAGGGACCTCATCTGCGGTCTGGTGTTGCTCACCAAAGGTACACAGGAGGAGAAAATAAAGTGAGCGGATTTTTTTTTATTATGTTTTTCGATCGATTTTATAGCGTTCGTTTGAGCTTATTGCATAATGGTTTTTTTTTTTTAGTGTGTTTGCGCGATTAGCGATCGCGTTTTAATGTCGTTTTTTTTTTTTATTAATTATTAATCTCGTGTGCTATATAAAAAAAATGTGGAACAGTAATGTATTTAACAAAAAAAATCACTTGACTAAATCTAATCGCTTTAATTGCTAGTTATCTCGCTTTAGGAGGTAAATAGGCAAATATAATGTTTTATTTTTATCAGATAAACATCTATTATTTTTATACAGGGTGTTTCATAATTAAGGGATTTTTTAAGAAAAAAACTTTCAATTTCAAAATTACAAATGTTTTTTTTTTAATGCGAAACGATGAGTCGTACGGAAAAAAAGTCGAGATATCAAATTTGTTCTAAATTGAATGAGGATTCCGAAAATAATTTTTATTTCAATATTAGACAGTGGCGTACCATTATTTTCTCCGAAAATATCCAATGCAAAACCCGTACGGACGCCACTGTTGAAAATATTAAAATTATTCGTACATCAGAAAATGCATCTTGATTCATAGAAGCCGTGTGCCAAATTTCATAAAGATATCTACAATAGTATCACAGTTACTACAAAAAAAATGATTTTTTTTCTCACAACTTCGACACCCTGCATCTCAAAAGTTAAGACGTTTAGGACATTGATTCATATGAAGTTCTTTTCCTTAAAACGGCACGTCATTTTGAAACACCCTGTATATGTATAATTAAATTTTCGTTTCAAACACAATTCTCATCGCATTTCCAGGTTCCTCTGGACTCTGTACTGCGGCGATTCGGTCACTCACATAACCAGAAATGAATTCAAAAGCGCCTTGCAAACCGAGGACGCCCTTTCGCCATCGGATAAATCTTCGAAATTGCACACGTCGAGGGATCGAACGGTCACCTCATTGTTCGGCAACCAGGATAAGGTCAACTTCGAGGATTTCAGGGAGTGGATACTGTTCGAGAAAGAGGCCACCGTCTTATCCAAATGGTGAGTTTCTTACTAAGAATCGTGGGTAGATAAGTGGCAAAAATCAAGAGTAAACATACCCTACTTTACCCTCATTTATGTCCTAATTATGGGAGTATTTGTAAACTTTGCAAATGGTGAGTTTCTTACTAAGAATCGTGGGTAGATAAGGGGCAAGAATCAAGAGTAAACCTACCCTACTTTGCCCTTAACTTATCCTCATTTATGTAGTAATTATGGGAGTATTTGTAAACTTTGCTTGGTGATTTTAAGGCTTTTATCGAATCCTTGCGTATCGCTGAGTTCTGAATTGGAGACTCCGACGTTCTATCAATCGTTAGCAGGAGTCACGCATTTGGAGGAGCAGGACATATGCGAATTGGAGAAGTGTTTCTGGGCCTTGCAGGCTTCTTCGGCTACATCGAATTTGGATTTTAATTGTTTGAAAACGCGCGTTTGTCCGCCGGTTCCGTTGAAGGCTTGCAGAGGGTAAGTTTGTGAAGCGATAGGGGTTTGTTTGTGGTGTTTTAATTGTGGTTTTTTTTAGGCTGTTTTTGGCTCTGGATGTTAATAGAGACGATCATGTGGATTTTAAGGAGCTGTGTTGCGGTATATCGGCTGCTTGTAGAGGTCCGATGGTCGAAAGAATGAAATGTGAGTGTAAATACTTGTTAATTTTCGAAATATTTACAGCGATACTTGGAGCAACCTGAATAATGAATTGTGGATAAATTTAATTTGCAGTATTTTAACGGGCGACCTTCGGTGTATTCGTTCTTTCCAACGTATAACGTTTTACTTACAGAGCAATATTAATTTTCGAATTAATTGTCGAAGTAATTGTTATCGAAGCTTATCGGTTTTTGTTTGTATAACAAACGGCTATAAATTTTAGTTTTTTTTTTAATCTATTGCGTATATTTTACTATTAACTTCAACGGTAATTAGAATAAATTTGGAAAATCATTGTTTACTGCTACGAATTTTTCTTCAGTTCTACGGAATTCCGGTTTGTGAAATTGCGTAGTAAAAAAAAAACATTAAAATTTACATATAGTCGATGCAAAACAAAGATTCCTAATGTAGTCATAATTGACAAGCATTGTGACCAACTTTTAACAATAAATGCACAAAATTCATTAAGCCTAATACCTGCTGGATTTGATTTAATCCAAAAACAGATATCCCCAATTCTCAATTTATTCTTATCATCTACTGTAAACTCTCTAAAAGTTCGGCAACACCGCCAACTTGTTACATAGCGTTTGTTTTGCACCGACCGTACTCGCTTATATATCGTTCGTTCGCCATAAATTTCATCCTTCTAACTCCATTTCCAGTCTGTTTCAAAATATTCGACATGGACCGAGACCTCTACCTGAACACCGAAGAGGTCCAGCACATGACCCAAACCCTCATACTAGTCGCCGACGAAAACAAACTGACATATCTCCAACAATACTACCCCGAATCGTCGCCGAAGAGCCATTCGGGCGACGACCACAAACCAGAAACCTCCACCGGAGAGAATCTGAATCTACACCAGGAGATTCTGGAGCGCCTCCAGTCCAAATTGGACGACAAAGGCGGCCTGACGCAGGAGGATTTCCTAGTGTGGAGCGTCGAAAACAACAGCCTGGTGGCCCCTTTACTCGAACTACTGTTCCAAGTCTGCCACGTGTCGCTCGGGCTCCGGCCCCACTGTCGCCACAACGAATACGAAATAGGTATTATAAACGATTATTACACACCCACTAATCAAATTAATTACTGCAAAACCATCGGCCTCCTTCCCGACTAGTCCCTCAGCCACCCCGGTCGATACAACTCTCCTTAACACAGGAGAAACTCGTAATGAATCGATGATATTTCAGTGATGGGATGGTTGGAGCGCGAGCAGCGCCGCGGCTACCACATCGGCCAATTCTGGTACCTAATATCCTCCGATTGGTGGCACCAATGGTTGAACTACACCTCGGCCCCTCGCAATAACTTGGACATATGCAATTGTCGAAGCGACCACAGGCTGCCCATCGAAGAAGGCATCGCCTGCGACGAGAGCCTGATCAGCAACACGACGGATTACACGTCGAATTCGAACGATTACAATTCGAACAGCATGGAATCGATGGGGGATTTGCTCAACAGAGGAGGCGATAGGTGGTTGATTTGTATAGCGGAAATATCGGGGTGATTGTAGGAGGTTTTTTGTTTAGGTGTAGCATCTCGTCTAGTTCGGGAGTTTCGAGTAGTTCTGGAACCGGTACGAAGCGAAGCATCGGTCAACCGGGTCCCATCGATAACTCGAGTTTGATAGCGGAGCCGGTGTGTAAGGTGCAAACTTTAACGGGCGAAGGTTTGTATAACGATTGGTGTATAATAATCCGCATAATAAAACGTACTCTTAGGTGGTAGATTGAAACGGGACATGCCGTTGGTGCAACACCGAGACTTCGAACTGGTGCCCGAATCCCTGTGGAAGGCGCTATCGATGTGGTACGGCGGGCTGTCGCCTCTACCTAGGCAAGTCATCCAACCGCCCGGTCGTACCGAAGTCGAATTGGAACTATACCCGATCAATTTGAAGATCCTGCGCCATCATTCGCAGCAGCGGATCAGCACGGCGTCGTGGAGCAGCGTCGTCGGAGGGTAACTACCTATTAAAAAACCTCCATTATACGATGATTAAACGATCGATTTTGTTGAATTGTAGTTACGGTACGGCCGCCTTGAGTACCGCCGGTCTCGCGTCGTCGGTGAACGCCGGCACGCGCAGGTACTTGGCGCACACGGCGGCCTTTTCGCGGCTCGCCACCGTCCAACAGGTGACCGATTTCCTCTGCCAACGGTTGAACCTGCGGCCGGAGGACGCGCGATTGTGGCTGTTGCGCGAACATTCGGCCAGTCTCGTCGACGACGAGAACGCCTCGCTGGAGGATCTGGGCGTGACGGATTCGGACCAGGTGCTGCTCGAGGTGCGCAACAAGGACCTGACGTGGCCCGAGGAATTGGGCCAGTTGGTGGCCGGCGGCGGGCACGAGTTGGGGCTCAGCGTCGAGAGGAGGCCCACCATTTGTCTACCGCCTGGTACGATGATTCATCACTCATCAAATCGATTCTAAGTTGTATTTGCGCGTTTTTTTAGGAGCTACGGGGTTGCACAATCTGGGGAATACTTGTTTTATGAACGCCGCGCTGCAGGCGGTGTCCAATACGAGGCCTTTGACGTTGTATTTCCAAAGGGACAATTCGCTCACCGAGTTGAATCTGACGAATCCGTCGGGTTCTAAAGGTCAGGTCGCCAAGAGGTACGCGGAGTTGTGCAGGGAATTGTGGGCGGGTTCGACGAGGAGCGTGGCGCCTCTAAAATTGAGGTATCTCATATCGAAATATTCGCCGAACTTTCAAGATGGCGGACAGCACGATTCTCAAGTAGGCGTTGCTTTTTATATATACTGTAGTAGATCGGAGACTAAAAACGCGATTTGCAGGAACTCTTGGCTTGGTTGTTGGACGCTTTGCACGAGGATTTGAACAGGGTGGCGATAAAACAGTACACCGAACTGAAAGATAGCAACGGGAGGCCCGACGAAGTGGTAGCTGACGAGGCATGGCAACAACATTTGTCCCGAGATCATTCCATCATTACGGATCTCTTCTACGGGCAACTTAAAAGCAAAGTAAGCGAACCTGTCACTTGTCAAATTAATCAAATGTTGGTCTTGTACGTGTTAAGGTATCGCAATTATTTAATTTATGTAACCGGTCGAAAATGTCACTTGTCAAATTGATTTTTAATTTAGGTAACCTGTCAAACTTGCGGTCACGAATCGGTACGATTCGATATCTTCAACGTGCTGAGTTTACCTTTACCGATGGAAAGTTACATACTCTGCGAGGTTTTGGGTAAGTTTACATCTTTACTAGAATCTTAATAAAATAATTTAATGTTCGTCTATTACTCAGTGGTGAAGTTGAACGGCGAATGCCCAGTGAAGTTCGGCTTGCGGTTGCAATCCGAAGCGAAATACTTGGAATTGAAGGAGCAATTGTACAACATCTGCGACATCAAGCCGGAGAGATTGCTGGTGACCGAGATAGCGTCGAGCCAAATAAGCAATGTCCTATCGGACGAGGCCAGGATCAATCCGGCTACAGCCATGGAATTGTACGCCTACGAGTTACCCGAAGCCACCCGAGCTGTACCGAAGGCCGAAATCGAAACGGAACCGGGTATGTTGGAACGAATTCAGCGCGTTTTTTTGTTTGTAATTTTTCGATACGTCTAATTCATTCATTTAGTGTTAATTAGAGTAGATTCGTGTAGGTTAATTAGACGTAAAGGCTGTCCATTTTCGTTATACTAGTGGATATCGGGCCGGCCTGTTGCAACGTTGCCGGGTTGTAATTGATATCCTTGATGTGACAGATATATTCGATTTGAGGTTATGTTTATTTTCATTGTTTATAAATCAAAAAAAAGTCTTAAATAGTAGAATTTAAACATGAAAAAGTAGATCAGGAGGAGATATGACAGATATAACAGAACGTTGTGTGATTTTTTACGATTAGGTCAATTATTCCAATAGTCTTCTTCCTCTCTACCATCTCGTTCTCTATCAAAATAGGTCGAAAAACAAACCGAAAACCGCACGAAAAACTCTCAAAAACGAATGGAAAACACAAAACCTACTCGTAAACTTGCATGAATTGCAAGAAAAATGCAAAAATCGCATAAAAAGTAGCGAAAAACAACAAATTGTAAACATAACCTGTCAACATAAAAGAGCGGAATTTTAAGACTAACGCAAGACAACATCGCTTCGGAAATTCAACCGCGCGTCGTAAAATTCCCCAAGTCAAATGGGAGAATTAACATTGGCACTAGGGACATTTTGAACTGCGCGGAAATTACTAAAAATTACCAAATAGTCTAACGAAAATGGATATCCTTTAAGTTGAATTTATTCATATCCAAAAAACATCTATCACGTAGTTTAGTTAGCGGTAGATTATCTACTTTAATCCCTGTACGATTTGCAGAATAATAGCGTTAGAATAATGTAATGTTTCGGTACGTAAAAATGTATCGGTAAGTATAATTTGTATTGTTGTTTTTTTTTTGTTCTCAGAAGTGGAGTTGGATATATGCGATAGCCCGCTGGCGAGAAGTCCCGAGGTAAGCCATGGTTCGGCCCTATGCATGCCCAACATTCTATGCTTCAAGGTATGCACGTACCCAGATAGCATTTTATTTTTTTTTTGTTGTTGTTGTTGTTTTATCCACTGTTTTATACGTTAAATGTAGTAGGTGTGTAAATTTTGAAATAGTCGATTTTTGTAGAACATTTTTAATGTTAAAGGAGTTGTTGTTGCGTAGCGTTTGTCCATTTAGTAGTTTCGATTTTTGAAGGAGATAATGGAGAGGAGTACGATGGGAGATATACGATTTTTAACCGGATTATAGGAATTGAAATAAGTCATTTGAATTCGAAGCAGTTGTTGAAAATATTCAAGATTTTTGTTTTTATTAATTTGACAAGTTTAAAAAGTCAAAAGTATACATTCGATGTTGCCATTTTACCGTTTTTACTAAACAATAATTTAGAATTTTAGATATTTTCAGTACTTCGTAAATATAGGCATATTATATTATTTAACAAGTTACAGTTTGCTCTATATTTTTCAAACTTTAAAAAATAATTGTGGCCTTAATAGGAAACTGAGAAAATTAAAAATTTTATCAATGACTTCATATGAATACGCAGTTTTATAAAAAAAAAAAAAAATAAAAAAAGTGGTACTTCCTCTCCATTATAGAGTAATTTGTTCCATAATCGAAGGTAAACATAAAGGCTAGTTGAATGCGTACTGTTTGGGTACTCCTTTGTTGTTGTTGTTGTTTTTTCTAGTAATTGTTGTTGCATAGCAAGAAGTTGAGGCTTATGTGTATCTTATACCAATTTCATGTTTTTTTAATCGTTTATGAGTTGATAACTTAATTAATTTTTTATTTACATTTAACCGACGGTACAGCGAATGACGTATTTTTTGTTTTCAGAACAACAGATATAAGCAGGATAACCTGGAACCTAGGATAAGCAATATTTCATATAAAAAATCTACCACAATAACTGTACAGTCCAATACATCTACTGCCTCAGGTCTGTAAATAAAGCATGCCAATATCGGACATTACCAATGATTCGTATCTGTTGCATAAAATATCGCATAAATATCGCACGTGCAACAAACACGAATCTTCGTATACACCAGCATGCACCCCACACACCATCGAAATATCTTTATATCAATACCATTAGGCAGTATTCACTGGATTTCTAACGAACCATTTCCTCGATACTAATAATGTATACATCTCCCGTTTCCAGCTACCGATTCGAACCGAAAGTGCCCTTCTTACCTCATAGCGGTCAACAGGAAATGCGTGCGACAGGAAACCTACTTCCTCTCGCAGCAGAAAAGCAAACCCAGCCTGTTCGGCCTGCCCATTCTGTTGGACTTCGACGAGACCAGCTCCTGCCAGAGTTTGTACGAAGGCGTTTGGAACCAAGTCACCAGATTGTTGAGCCCATCGCCGCAGAGCGACCAGCCCAATCACGCCACCGACTGGTACATTTACATGCAATTTTTAGTTATCTAATTTGTTGTATAATATCGTTTGTTGTAGCGATGACTCTCTAGGCTACGAGTTTCCGTTTACTCTCAAAGCGGTTTTCCAAGGCGGTCAAATCTGCGCTATTTGCCATTGGACGCAGTTCTGCAGAGGTTGCTCGTTTCCTCTATCCGACGAGCTCGTTTTGGACATTTGCGGGTCTAATATAAATAATGGTTTGTGCGTGGCTATCGATTGGGATCCCACGGCGTTGCATCTTCGATACCAAACGAGCAGAGAAAAGGTAATGAATTTTACATGTAAGATTTCGGTATATTTATCTTGGGTTTGTAGATGTGGTTGGAGCACGAATCGGTGGCGACTTGTCGAAAATTGCACGCGGAACCCATCGATTTGGATTATTGCTTGCGAGCGTTCACTTCGGAGGAGAAACTGGAGGAAAAGTACCATTGCAGTAACTGCCGGAACCTTCAACCGGCCACTAAGAAGATGCAAATTTGGAGACTGCCCCCGATACTCGTAAATACCCACACACACCAATCCATTTACATACATTCACTCTATATTTTTATCGTAGATAATCCATTTAAAACGCTTCGTCTTCAACAAGAAATGGGTGAAGACGCAGAAGGTCGTCAACTTTCCGTTCAAAAACTTCGATCCCACTTCCTATTTGGCTTCGGTTCCTCAAGAAACCATCCTCAGACATAAACAGATAACCGAAAAGAAGTGTGGTGAGGTCGAGAGGTGCGCGGAACACCAACCGGAGCAAATACTCGAAGAAAACGAAGACTCGAACGGGGAAAGGGATTCGAAACACAATGTAGAAGACTCGTGTAACGGCGAGTGCGTGAAAAACGCCAATGCGTCGTTGGAAAGCTGCAAATTGCTCAACGAAAGCGATAAAGGTTCGTTGTTTTTTTGGAAATAAAGAGTTTTTCTTCTAATTGAAATTATTTGTAGGATCGCCGCTGAAAGGTAACAAAGTAGGAGAGAGAACGGCCAAGGTAAGGGCCAGACTGGAATCGACTAGTTTACTGAAAACGCCCATTATCGACGAGAATTTGAAAGATTACCACAATCACCGATTGCTCCCCGGTCAAGATCCCTTCGATCTCAAGTACCAGCTATACGCTGCAGTTGTAAGAGAATTTTTTACACAGATTTTACTAAAGATGTTTCCAAAGTTCCGAAAATTGCATTCATATGGATGGATGAGTTTTTATACTGAAAACAAGACAAATCACTGAGCAATGTTGCAATGGATAGTTGCATAAAATAACAACATTGCATAAAAGTTCTGCATAGTTTAACGGAGAGTGTATTGAGAGAGAGTAAAACCGCTTTGATGTCTAACGACTTATTTCTATTCATATAATCCGGTTAAAAACCGTATACCTCACTTCATACTCCTCTCCGTTAGAGCATCAGAACTTTGGAAACATCCCCCATATTTATAGCATCTTGTAGAGTATTTCTAAACGAAATAACCGTATTTTTTAAATTCCAAGTGCCATTCCGGAATGCTCAACGGCGGCCATTACATCTCCTACGCCTGCAACCCGAACGGTCACTGGTACTGCTACAACGACAGCTCCTGTCGCGAGGTACTCACCGATCCGGAGATCAACGCCAACAAATCCCTGCTATCTCTCGGCTCGAGAACCTCCCTCGGTACTCCTCTCTCGAAGCGAAAGAACGCCAGGAAACTGAGCGCCGGCAGCGCGGCTTCGGAGGACTCTGAGAAGAAACCCGAGTCGATCGAAGGGCTCGACGTCGATTCGCGATCGAATTCGGCCTGTTCGGTGGACAAATTGGCGGGGCCCGACGAGAAGCCGCCGAAGGAGAAGGAGTCGCCGTTGGGCGGGCGGAGATCGTTGGGGAATTACGATTGCCCGTACAGGGACGTGAAAGTGCCGAAGATCGATACCAGTACGGCGTACATTTTGTTCTACGAACGATCGGGGCTGGATTATCAACCGTATTTACCGAAGGTAGGTGATGTGTGGACGGTTTTACTAACAACTTGCGTTGGATAACTGCGAAAATCCGTGCCTATGGTTGTGTTTTAGTCGATTAAAGCGTCTCGTTTGATTAATATTTTGTTGTAAAGGTTGTCTATTTTCGTTAGATTAGTGGATATCGGGCCGGCCTGTTGCAACGTTGCCGGGTTGTAATTGATATCCTTGATGTGACAGATATATTCGATTTGAGGTTATGTTTAAATTCATTGTTTATAAATTAAAAAAACGTCTTAAATAGTAGAATTTAAACATGAAAAGTAGATTAGGAGGAGATATGACAGATATAACAGAACGTTATGTGATTTTTTACGATTAGATCAATTATTCAAATAGTCTTCTTCCTCTCTACCATCTCGTTCTCTATCAAAATAGGTCGGAAAAACAAACCGAAAACCGCACGAAAAACTCTCAAAAACGAACGGAAAACACAAAACCTACTCGTAAACTTGCATGAATTACAAGAAAAATGCGAAAAATCGCATAAAAAGTAGCGAAAAACAACAAATTGTAAACATAACCTGTCAACATAAAAGAGCGGAATTTTAAGACTAACGCAAGACAACATCGCTTCGGAAGTTCAACTGCGCGTCGTAAAATTCCCCAAGTCAAATGGGAGAATTAACATTGACACTAGGGACATTTTGAACTGCGCGGAAATTACTAAAAATTACCAAATAGTCTAACGAAAATGGATATCCTTTAACCACATCTATACGCATAATGGAGAGGAGTACACGATGTGATATATACGATTTTTAACCGGATATATTTTTCGTTTTCTATTAAGTCACTAAGTAGTCTTACTCCTCTCCATTCATCACATCGATCGCTCTGTATAAGTGTTGTACGCTGAAATTAACGGTTTCCATTCGACATTTTGATGTGATATTGTGATGTAACATAGGCACACAAAGTTTAGCATTTATCCGAATAGGTTGCGATTTCTATTAATGCAATTTTCGTGGCTTAATTAGCTAATTGGTTTAGGTGATGCCGAACGGTAAGCAAGTGCCTATTGAAGATCCGGACGAAAGTGATTCTGACTTGAGGAACAAAGTGTGCGCGATTCAGTAACAAATAGTCGAGTTGAATTCATTCGGATCGAATAAAATGAATCGAGTCGATTCGTTTCGATTAATAGTTTTGTTCAGTTTACTGTCGAATTTGTAAGTGAAAAGTATTTACCTGAAATTTGTTACTTTTAAATCGGAAATATCAATCGATGCTGATGTAATGAAACTGATTTGTTTGCTGGTTTGGTAGAGTTTTACAAATGTATTTAATTTCGCGATGAAACTAGGTAGCAAAATTCTAAAAATGTTACTTACGTTATGGATACTATAATAGAAATATCAGCGGTTATTAAAACATATTTGGACTCTATTTTTTTATTGAAAATTATTATAAAATGTGTCGGTGATTTGACGAAAAAAATTCATTTATTTCGCCCAGTGTGTGTGCCCTGGAAAGCAAAAATTTAGCGTAATTTTCTACGAAAAAGAGATGTAGATAATTAAAAAAAAAAACGATTTTGCAAAACTCTACTTATTTGTTACGTTTATTAAGTTTATTCGAAATTGTTAGTTATATTTTTATAAGTGCCAGAAGAACGGGGGTGTCATTTTCAATTAAGAATTGTTTTTAGCTAAGGTTTTAGTATTAAGCTATCATACGAAGATCTATTTTGTATTCCCCCTTTTATGTGTAAGAGAAACAATTGTGATTAAGTAAAGGATGAAGCCTATGCATATTTTTAAAAAAACACGTTTTAAAACACGCCTGTAGAAGATACATTTTTTTAAATATTTTTTAGTTTTCTGTATCCCATGCCAAAGATAATATAAATTTCTTTTTATTCGAGTATGCGGTGGAATAGTGTGTGATCTAATCGGAATATTTATGATTTTTATAAGTTGTGTACATTTTCCTAGTCTGATATTTTGATTCCATTATTTTTAAGGTAAACTTTAACTTGTTAATTATATTTGACATGTTTTATTCCATTTATGTATTTGTACGTTATATATATACAGTTATGTATGGTGCCATTTCTAAATAAAGCTTGTACATTGTTACTCCTTTTTAGTTAATATTTTCACCAGAAATCGATTACCTAACTTCTCAAAAAACGTTTCTAAGCGACAATGTGTAATCAATACAAACAAACATTAAAACACGATAATACAAAGTAAAATTAGTGTAAGTGAAAGAACTCGTTATGGATTTATTAAATAATAATCTGACAATTCCACGAGGTAATAAATACAAACAAAATTTAAACTGGACCGATGTGCCGCATCCACAACAAATTTTAATCACAAAACCAGAAGTTCAACTGATAGCGAAAGAGACGATAAGGAAAATATTCACCGAACTTTTACACACCTCAAATCCATCAAAAATTACGCAAAGAAAAGTATTTACAAAAAGTACAAACGAAAAGTATTTACACGAAAAGTATTTTAAACTATGGAAGAACATCGTGGAGACGAGAAGAGAGCGAAGAAGAAACCTCGAGCACGCCAAACAGCAGAAAGATAAAATAGATTTCTTCATACACGAATTAAAGAAACGCAAAACTACCGTCCAAACGCTAACAAACCAAAGCAAAAACATAAACAAAACCAACCTACACACCGGCAACAATTACAGAAGCAGATACGAAGCGCAAAAGTCCATCATCGAGCTGCAAAAGGCCAAACTAGAAGAGCAAAATAGGATCATCAAAGAACTGAAATTGGGACAACTCTGTGCGGATTTGGAAAAGTCGCGCGTGAAGATAAACATTCGCGAGATATTCGCGAACTGTTCGAGGCAATTGAAGCATAAAATACCATTAGTAATGAAAGAGGAATCCAAATTTTCGATTGATACGCGAAAGGTACCGAAGATAATACAGCTAGTCGAGCAGAAATCGTTGGAAAGGGCCGAAAAGCGGCGGATTATCCTCGAAAGGAAACAACAAATTGAAGAAGCCCGCCAGAAAATGGTAAACGCATAAAAATTTCATTTCACACAACTAGAAAATATGTTTTTGTTAGATTGAAAAAGCGATGGAAGAGAAGCGAGCAGTAGAAGAAGAAGGCATAAAGAAGCAGTTAGAGTTGATGAAGGAGCGCAGGAGAAAGGAACTAGAAATGGAGAAAACCCGGCGAAGAAACCAGCAAATCTACGCGGAAAAATTCAACAAAGCCACGAAATTTTATAACTCCCTGTTACTAAACTTTTGCTTCCATAAATTGTACCGAAACGTGCAAAAACGCAGGGATAACGAGCAATTAGCTGCCTATCATTACAAGAGAAATTTGCTAAAAAAATGTTTAACATCCTGGATGCAGCTAATAGAGGATCATCATAAAGCGCAATATAATAAAGCTGTTGATCATTACCAGGAAAATATATTGAGAAAAACCATCATACATTGGTGTATGGTTAGTAGTAAAATTATCACTAATTTTAACAAATTGACAAATTATGTTTTAGTTTCACCAAGAATACGTTTTAAATTACCAAGTAGCAGAGGATCTTTACGATTTCAAATTGCTGAGTAATGCATTTACAAAGTGGAAACAATACATGATTGATCAAATTATGGATAAACGTAAACGAGAATTATTGGAATTAGAAAATAGGAAAACTGAACCAGCTGAGCGTACTTTGGGATTTTTATTGGGAATAAAATCTATGTAATTAACGTGCAATTTAAAATACTTTACGAGGAAGGTATTTTTGTTTCATCAAGCATTTCCTGTACTCAGAATTAATAGTATTCAAATGTATTAGTTAATAAAACTTTTATTTAAAAAAAACGCTTAAAATACAATTAAAAATAGAAAACTGAAAACGAGCAATGGTTAACTCAAAACGAAAAATCAGGCAATATAGCTTTGTTTTTGTGTCTTCTGGTGCGTTTTCTCTTCGGCTTCACGATAGGAAAATTTTCGATATCTTCCGATGCTGCACCGCTTTCCTCTTCAAAGCTCGAATTTCTGATATTGTTCAGGAGATGGCCTGAAAAAATTAAACAAAAATTATATACCAAAGAAACCGATACAATAATTTACTTACCAACTCCATTTAATAGCTTTCTAGCAGTGTTAGTATTTGGATGCAAAGGATTAATCCCTGATAAAGCGCTACCATCGAAGCCTTTTTCAGTATCCGCAGTTTTATCCTCACATTCAACGTTTTGAGTACAATTATCAACAGATTCAGCATTTACAGAATCTGCATTCAAAGTATTTTCGGCGCTATCCTGAATTTCCTCCAATTCGCTATCATCCTGCATACTTTCATCATCTCCTTCGATAACACTCAGATTACTTTCTGCGATTAGGGGCTTTTTTTCTTCGGTGCCAGCACACGGTAGGGACATTTTGAATTTGAACAAGTTACTGCGTTTGGGCCGTTTGATTTTCGACATGCAAAGCAAAGGACTAGAAGAATCGATGGGCGAGGGGGGTACTTGGAAACTAGAAGTTTCAGGTAGCTTCGATTGCTCAGAATCGGGGTTATTTTGAGAAGATGGTACAAGCGGGTTACTATCGGTGGAATGGTTGCTGTTTTGAGTGGGTTTTTCTTCGTTATTGTGAGTGGTAGGTCTGGAAAGATAGTCGATTCGGATGATGTTAATTTTCTTTTCTTTGAGGTATTCATCGGTTGTTAGGGGTATGCATTGGGATTTTTTGATATTGACGTTTTCGGGCATCGGGCTGCACAGCAAGATTCGATTATCATCGGGATTGTCTTCGGAATAACCGTTGGGTTTCGTTTTGGGGTATTTTTTAGTTTCGGAATCTTCGCAATCGCTTTGCTCGGGGATTTGGGGCTCTTGGTGTTTGTTTCTTTGTTTGTCTTTCTTCGTTGATTTCTTTTTGGTTCCGTTCAGAGATGTTAATGTGGAATCTTCAATATCGCGTGTGTAATTGTTTTCGCTCTTTTTCGGTTTTCTCTTAATTTCTTCCTCGGGTTCAGAGCTGTACAAAAGAGCTTCTTGCTGTAGAGCTTTGAGGTGCATTATGTCGTCGTCTGTTAATTTACGCCTTTTCTTTTTGGGGCTTTTCGCAGTATTTTTTTCTTGTGCTTGCTTATTGTTTGGTATCACCCTAGATATTAAAATTATTTATTAAAAAACACTAATTGTACAAATTATAGTACCTAAACTTACCATACTACTTCTTCGGGACGAACTATTCGAATATCTTCGGAATTGGGCAAATAAAATTCATTTTGAGCCATTAAAACGAAGTCATTTTCGATTGCAAAAATATCTTTTAGTTTTTTTTGTAAATCCCCAACGACTTTGAGGTTGCTATCGATAAATATTCTGGCTTTACTCATGTAATCATTGTGGTAATTGGATAGGTTGATTATTATGAAATTGCACATTTTTATGCAAAAGGAAGGTAACTTATTCACAATTTTACGAATTTTAAAAACCGACACATTGAGAAAAAGCGTAAAGCCGACAAATTATAACCTCCAAAAATTGCGAAATGACAAATAATAAGTTTGAAATGACAGTGTTGCCAACTGCATAAATTTTTTATCTGTTGGCCTTCTACATATTGGATGTTTGTATATTTTACTTACCTGATTCGTCTTTTCATGTTGGCCTTTTACTCTTACTGAAAACATTTTCCTCATCAATTTCAGTTATTTTGACATTGACTTGACATCAATTTGACATTGACAGAATAAATAAATATCGATAATTCTTTAACTTCAAATGATTATTTTCACAAAAATATTACAATATAAATGTCTGGTTACAAACGAGTGAGTTTTTACGAGCTTTGTAGACTATGCGCATCGAATACGCAAAAAGAAAAAACTCACATTTTCCAAGAAGAAGGAAAAAAGATCCAGCTGCAAAATAAAATACAAGTTTGTTTGGCTCTCACGGTAACGGACTGTCCGCTAATCGGGCGCGATTTATACTGATTTTGCGTGCATTTCAGGTCAACGAAAATGATTGTTTGCCAAAGGTTGTTTGTTCGAAATGTCTACGATCGCTCGAAACCTGCTACGACTTCAGACAGGAATGCGTTCGATCCGAATCGATGCTATCCACTTATTTCAAGAACTTTAGGTACACGGAGGATTTCAAGAAATCCGGAAAAGTGTACATCAAAGATATCAAAAGCACCGTGAATGTAACGAGTACAGAACCTACTACAACTACTCCTACTCCAGTAACTAGTAGTACACAAGCAGCGCCCCAAAACGTTATTATTAACACTAATAGAAACCAACAAAACGTCGAGCAAGTACCGTTCTACACGCTGCAGCTTCCAACGATCGTTACCAACCCCAACATAGTAACGAAAACTCAAAAACAAGCCGACAGTTCGAAAATAACCCAAAACCAATTCGCCTACAACCTCAATTTAATAAACACCGCAAACCTCAGCAAACCGAAGGCGGAAATCGTCAGTAATGTGGTAGTCAATTCCAACGGAGAAGTCATCAACATCGCCCACATGGGAGACTTCGAAACGATATTGAACCAAGGACAAGCTTTAAAACCTAAAAGCAAATTCGTCAAAAGGAAAACCGAAGATGAAAATGTCGTTCGAATCGATCTAACCGAATCGGACAACTCCGATTACGCATTAGAAGCGAACAAATACGATAAATTACCTCACATTAAGAACACCTACAAGTCCGAAGATAAATCGCAGAAACAAACGGTGATCTTTCCTATATCCGAATACAACCAGACCTTCAACTCCAACAACGTGGTTTACACTCAACCCAATTTGAATTTCGTCAGCAGCAACAGTACTGTAAACGTGATGACAACAACAGTAGAAACTTCCGCATTGAACGTTATAAACCAGAACTTGCAGGAGACGAGCCCGCCGGCTTACACGAACGTCATATCGGGCGATATACAAGAACCGGAAGATTGCAAAATCGACCTACCGAAATCGGAAATCCTCCAAAAAACCAACAACTCGAATCAAAAGCCCCACGTCTGTGAAGTATGCCAGCGGGCGTTCAAACGTCGAGAGCACCTCTACCAGCACATCAAACTCCACACGGGCTTTCGCCCTTACATCTGCGAACAATGCAACAAGGCGTTCATGCGCAAGGAGCACCTGCTGCGCCACAGCACGCTCCATTCGGGCCAGAAGAACTTCACCTGTCACATATGCAACAAGAGCTTCTCGAGGAACGACAATCTGATCAAGCACCGCAAGACCCACAACAAACAGGCCAGCTACACGTGCGAGTTTTGCAGCAAACAGTTCGTCATGAAGCACTATTACAACGCGCACAAATTGACGCACGATAAGTTCGTGTCGACCGTTTGGGGGCTCTTGAAGACGTAGTCTTCCGATGGTATATCGTAGTTGTACTTAAAATTTATTTCGATTGTGCTTCGGGTGGTCCGTTAACTATACAGGGTGTTCTATGACGTGCTACAGTGATTCTTGGACGCATTTTAAGAAGAAAACTTCTAATGAACATGTGTCCTAAACCTAAAATTTGTTATTTTTAGCATATCATTTTGGAACACCTAGTATTAACATACTTTCAATGTAGTTGTACTTAAATACGTTAACTATACAGGGTGTTCTATAATGACATTCTAGAGTGATTCTTGGACGCATTTTAAGAAGAAAACTTCATATGAACATGTGTCCTAAACCTAAAATTTATTATTTTTTTAATTATTTAAATATTAGCAAAGTCATTTTGGAACACCTAGTATTAACATACTTTCTATGGGGTTAGTAGATGCCTCATAAAGTTTGTATTGTTAAGGGATGCCTGAGGTGTTATCGAGATTATTTTGTAAATATGTACTTAACGTTCTGAAACATTTAGTAGTTCGGTTAATTGTGAAAAATTGCCAGTTTAGAAATTCAGCTTCTCTTTAACTAAAATGTACTATTCGCTTAAGAGCACAATATCAATTTTTCAATTAGCTGAACTATCTGCGGGAAATTCGATTTCTTTGTTGTGATTATGTACCGGTGAATTGTCGCCTGTAATTTATTTATTTTTTTGGTTTAATATTGAATTGTTAATTTTTCTTGCTATTAACTAGAAGTTATTCGGAAAGATACAGATAATCGAATTATGTAAATACCTATCTTTACCTTAAAGTATTATTTTTAGAGGTTTAGCTTTAATATTTATTTTATTTATGTAAAATTAATGGGACGTACTATATCAACAGTAACTGGTTTAAAATTTGCTTGGATTTCAATATTTTAAAGTTTTTATTTATACTTACATTTAGGCTGTTTAGATAGCAAGAAAAATTAAATTTTAAAGTGATATCCTGTCGAAAAACTTCGTTAATTTATTGCCATATTTATACTTAGTGAAGCGTTCTGTTGGAATGAAAAAAAAAAATACCAAAATAACCGTAACTATACTCTAGAATTCTAGTCTTAAGAGTTGTAAGTTTTATGTATTTAGCTATTTATTTTTTAAATAAAACCTGAAAATTTTAATCGCATATTTTCCTACACTTCAACACGCACAATATCACATATTTTTATTCAAATAAATTACTCTATAAATCGCGCTATTCTTTAATTATACCTTGCTGGGTCTTCCACGAGACGTAGGAGTTCCAAAACAGGGCCACCGTCTGCACGTACAGCGTTTGATAATTCAAAGGAACGAAATAGAAATTGACCACCTGCACCGCAGGCCACAATTTGTAGCCGGCTATTAAAATATCCGCGTATTTAAGCCTCAACTGCTCCTTCGCGAACTCCAAATCGTGGCCCTGCAAAATGTTGATGGCCGATATAGTGCATATTTGAAACGGCGGAACGAACAGTAGTTGGTCTACAGCCACTTTCTTCAAGGCCACAAATTTACCTTTATCGCCGAAGAATTTGAACAGGCATCGGTACCACATCGTAACCGAAGGGCCCTGAAAAAGTTGCGGTTATGTCCAATTGACTTTGGAAAGAGTCTAGGTGAATAATTTCTGGGAATTACTTACTATCCAAAAAGTTCCTAGAGTGAGGAAAACTCCTGTCCTTTGCAAGTTAATGTTTTTTAAAGGTTTTTTTTCTATAACCGCTTGGGCGATCAAGTCGCCTGTGCCACACAAAACCCCTGCTTGTATGCATTGAGTTTTAACGGGGTGTTTTGTTAACAAACGTTTGTAAGTTAGTAAAAGTCTAGACATTGTTATTAATTATATAAAACTACGACTACAAAATTCACAAGGCGATTAAAATTTATTGGAAGTTGTGGAAAGTTCACTAAGGCTTAGATTATAATTGACCCTTATTCAGATTGCCTTTTAAGTGTAAAAATAAATACATATTCATCAAGTGTGCCTAAAAAAACGATTAAAAGTTACAATTAAAAGTAATTTAAACAATTAACAACAATTACTGAATTAAACTACTTATCTTTCTTTAAACCTTGCATTTTGAATTGATAACTTGGGTAGAGATAACCTTACTAACCTAAAATTCAAAATTTCTTCTTTTATTTTAAATTTTTAATTATTGATGTACTGTCAAAGAAAAGGCCACATATACTTGAATTGTCTAATATAGATAACCACCATTACATGACACACTATAGAGTGTTGTCTATTAGAACAGGTAAAATTAAAAATATTTCGTTATTTTTTGAAAATTTCTACCTATCACCAAGTTATTGACGCAAATTTGTTTACGATAGAGTCTCCAGTAAAAATAATCACGTAATTTCTTTCAGTCTGCTGGGCAATGAATGTTCCCGTATCACAACGAATTTCATTCTTTTCAAGTACGTTAATTTAATGTATCATCAATATCACAACTAAAAATATCCTTAATTAACCCATCAAAATTATAACCTCGATTAATGGGAATGATTAAATATGCGGAAAATTGCTTTACGCATGTATGTAAATAAGAGCCAAATCAGGATAGTCTGTTTTTTAATTAATTTGTTAATAATTACTTTGACCGCCTTTGGTTACAGTAGATTAATCAACATAATTATACATAAAATGATTGATATTTAATGCGATGTGTGTGAAATTAATATTCTCTATTTGCGTGGTGGAATATCACCACCATAAATTTCTCTATTGCAAAAGTAAATTCTAGAAAAATAATTTCAAAAATTCGAATCTTTCAACGTCAGAAACACCGCAGATCTCACAACACCGTGAAATGATCGAATTAATTAAAGCCTCTTTCTACCTTTGGGCCCCGACGAAAATTTCCCCTTTGTTTAGAGTTTAGTTTAGAGCCACAAAGGCGAACGCGAGCTGATTTTTGGCGCTCCCGATGGACTTTTTTTCATTTTTCGAGCGACGGGCGAGAGCGAAAATAAAATCGTCCGCCAGATTCGTTCCTTTTAATACCCGGAAACTCCAGGAAAAAGAAGAAAAAAAACGCTCAAGTGAAATTGAAAAGCTCAAAAAGTTGGGAGAGTTCAAAGTCGAATTTGTCCAGCCCTAATAGAGCGAGTTATGGCTTTGATGGGGTCCTGTAATTTATTTATACTGTAAAGGGAGGATAGTTTTATTATACTGAGTGATTCCTCGCTAAAAATGAGTTCGAATATTGTAACAATTTCATTTAAATGCTGGCCCAATTTGCAATTATAAACGCAATTGTGGAGTAATTAAAATTGTGTGTTATCCGATCTCTCTATTTGTTTTGTTTGAACAGAAGATCGAGGAAAGCTGAAAAGCCACGAATTTAATTCAGATCATATTTAGAGGCTCCATAGGGAGTCCTTTGTGCAGGTGCATGTGCTCAGTTAAACAGAAGGCTTTAAGAAAATATCTTTGCACTTTGGTACACAACATGAATTTGGGGAATTTCGTGCTTGTTAAAATAGTTCGTAAACTGGTTTAAAAGGATAAAATGAACAAAAGCTCTGGAAACTTTGTCGTTTATAATCTTTTGACTAGCTATTTCGGCGCATACGTAAATAGAAAAGCGCTTTAGCGTGGAATTATATTCGTGTTTATTTCATTGTATGTACTATTAATATTCCTCTCTTGTTAATTATTTACTCTCTTATCACTAGATTTTTTTGAAGCTCTTCATACAAACATAACAAATCAACTCATAAATTCTAAAATTATCCGGTATTTAAACGTATATACTTCTAGTAATGGAAAATTTATAGAAATTATCACCACTCACCAGCGCCTTGTAATAATGTATGTATACAATAATTTCCCAGACGGCATATACACAAATAATAAAACTCTCAGTTTACAAGAAAATTATAGAAAATCGTAGGAAAAGTCTCTCACACCAGGCCCGGCACTCCGCATTTTACTCCACTAATAAAACCCTCGTTATTAAACCCACTTATCCGTAATTAATCCCATTTGTTTGTGCAAAAATAGATCCTCCTAACCACCCGATATAATGCCGTGTAGGTGTCCGATGGGCCCCGATAACACATCTGCAATTCGCAGATAATGCGCCCCGTTTGGTCCGGCCCTGGATAATTCGCTGTCGCCGTCGTACGAATTTATTTATTGGTACAGCGGATCGTTAAAGGCCCTACGTGATAGTCGGATTTGCGTAAATGTAAATAAGCCATAAGGGCAGTAAAAAATAGTAGGTGGTGTGTCGGGGGGCCTCGGGGGAGCGCCGGCTATTTAGGAGTTTGATAATTCGATATCCGATTGGCGATAAAATAACGCGATTTGAATGATATACGAGTTTGTAAGGACGGATCTTCGATTAAACAATGAAGAAGAAAAAAACGGTTCGTAAATTTCGCTGGGTTTATTTTGGGATTTATTGCGCTCAATTTCGTAGGGTTTTTGTGTATAGTTTGTGCGAGATAAATTGTTATGTATTGAAATAAAAATTTAGAATGTATGTAGGGAATTGACTGTTGAATTTGAATGGCAATTTTAGACGAATTTTAGTCGAAAACTATTTATCCATTCATATACATTATTCTTGATGAATCAAATAGGTGTAAGGTAGACTGGGGCAAATCGGTTGTAAAATTTGAATAGTTTAAATTAAATCTTAAAATGTGGCTTTTTTTTCTCTTATTAGAAATGCTGATACCACATTAAATTCACAACTTCCTTAATTAAAGAATCGAGGTATTAAAAAGTTTTTTTTTGAAAAAGGAAGAAAACGATTTTACATATTTTTTAAAATGTTGACAATATGCTACATTTACCCCCGTTCTAAAGTACAATACAATTATATAGAAAAACATATGGGGCAATTGTAAATACATATTTGGTTCCTCTAAAATTTGATATGCTGTTTATTTATTTATTTGAAAAAATAACAGAGCTACAAAATAATAAAGAAAAACTAAGAAACAAACCCCGTCTAATGCACAAAAGAACTATAAAAATAATAAAAACATTAACATAATAAGTAAAAATATTACATTTACCCCATTTTTACATTTGCCCCAGTCTACCTTAAACAGAAGTGGGTAGGTACTAGATACTAATTCATTCATAAATCCTCATTACTTTTACCCGTTTTTTCCGAAATTAAAACCAGTGTTAACAGGTAATTACCCTTATACAAGACGTCATTCATGATAGTTCATCCCTCTTAGGGGTAACCCGCCTACCGCCCCCGTTCATCCCTTAACACCAACAGCCGAAGAGCGCCTTCAGGATAACCTACAGCACGCCACGTTGTCAAATCCTGCCGCGTAAAATCCTTTTTTCCTGCTATTCCCCCTACCTTTTACTTACCTCCTCTTCACAAGCATCTTATTTGTAATGATTTAGCTACAAACAGCGTTTATTTAATAAACCTACGGTATATTTTCCTGCCGCATAAAATCCTTTTTTCCTGCTATTCCCCCTACCTTTTACTTACCTTTTTATCCACTTACATACACACCTTCACAAGCATCTAATTTGCAACGATTTAGCTACAAACAACGCTTATCTAACAACACCACGATATATTCCGAAGTTAGAAAATGGGGCGGGAAAGTGAGATTTATCAGAAAAAGGGCCAACGCCGCCGCCAGGCGCAGGTTCCCGCCACCTCTTATAAATTCCCGCTCTCGTCATCCTGACACTCACATTGTCATCGCGACCTCTTCCGAACCGGTTCGAGCACGTTTGTTTGCGTTCGAGAAGCGAAGCGCTCGTTGTCCTGCGAATCCTGCGGGTGGCGATCCGACGAAGACGAAGCCGAGGAGCCGTCGCGACCGGCTGAGGACTGGTAGCAACCTGTTGATTGGTGCCCCGAGCGTCGGTTGTTTTACGGCGGTTTTAAGGTGAGTTAAAGAGATTTATCGCGGGGTGGTTTGAATGGGTAATTGGCGGTGGAAATGACGGTGGAATTTTTTTATGGGGTTTTCCCTGGCGAATGGAGTTTGTAATGCAGTAATTGGATGAATTTTTTTCGAGTTGTTTGCCTCAAAAATGTGCTAAGATTTTTAATAAGATACACAATCATTATTTTTATAAGGTAGACTGGGGCAAATGTAAGAATGGGGTAAATGTAATATTTTTACCTATTATGTTAATGTTTTTATTATTTTTATAGTTTTTTTGTGCATTAGAGGGAGATATATATTTTTTTACGATTTTAAAAGCTTTTCAAAGGGTTCTTCCTAATGGTTACTATTTAATACATTTTTAACAAATTTAAGAGAGATTGAAAAATAATTTTTAATGGATTTTTTTCATGTTTTAGATGAGGTTTTAGTTTCATGTTTTATGCATTATTTTGTAACTACAGTAAGGTAGACTGGGGCAAATGTAAAAATGGGGTAAATGTAATATTTTTACTTATTATGTTAATGTTTTTATTATTTTTATAGTTCTTTTGTGCATTAGACGGGGTTTGTTTCTTATTTTTTCTTTATTATTTTGTAGCTCTGTTATTTTTTGAAATAAATAAATAAACAACATATCAAATTTTAGAGGAACCAAATATTTTTTTACAATTGTCCCATATGTTTTTCTATATAATTGTATTGAACTTTAGAACCCCATGGTAGGGGGTAAATGTAACATATTGTCAACATTTTAAAAAAATATGTAAAATCGTTTTCTTCCTTTTTCAAAAAAAAACTTTTTAATACCTCGATTCTTTAGTTTAGGAAGTTGTAAATTTAATATGGTATCAGCATTTCTAATAAGAGAAAAAATAAAGCCACATTTTAGGATTTAATTTGAACTATTCAAATTTTACAACCGATTTGCCCCAGTCTACCTTACAATAAAATGAATGAATTTTTTTTCGAGTTGTTTGCCTCAAAATTCATAACACAATCAATTTTTATTATAAATAACTCGCAAAAACTTATTCTTGTTCTTTCATGACACCCCTTGTATTTGTTTTACGACTGTATTTTACTTTAACGAGGTATTTAATTTTCTGCTTCGTGTAGTTTTTTGTGCGGTTTAATTAAGTAAAAGGCCCTTTAGGTCGTTTTATTGGCGAGAAACAATTGTTAAATTGACAGTACACGG